GTGTTATTGTCATCAGTAAAGGAAAAATGTCACACTGTAGCACGTGTCCGAGGTGTTATTGTCATCAGTAAAGGAAAAATGTCACACTGTAGCACGTGTCCGAGGTGTTATTGTCATCAGTAAAGGAAAAATGTCACACTGTAGCACGTGTCCGAGGTGTTATTGTCATCAGTAAAGGAAAAATGTCACACTGTAGCACGTGTCCGAGGTGTTATTGTCATCAGTAAAGGAAAAATGTCACACTGTAGCACGTGTCCGAGGTGTTATTGTCATCAGTAAAGGAAAAATGTCACACTGTAGCACGTGTCCGAGGTGTTATTGTCATCAGTAAAGGAAAAATGTCACACTGTAGCACGTGTCCGAGGTGTTATTGTCATCAGTAAAGGAAATATGTCACACTGTAGCACGTGTCCGAGGTGTTATTGTCATCAGTAAAGGAAAAATGTCACACTGTAGCACGTGTCCGAGGTGTTATTGTCATCAGTAAAGGAAAAATGTCACACTGTAGCACGTGTCCGAGGTGTTATTGTCATCAGTAAAGGAAAAATGTCACACTGTAGCACGTGTCCGAGGTGTTATTGTCATCAGTAAAGGAAAAATGTCACACTGTAGCACGTGTCCGAGGTGTTATTGTCATCAGTAAAGGAAAAATGTCACACTGTAGCACGTGTCCGAGGTGTTATTGTCATCAGTAAAGGAAAAATGTCACACTGTCACACTCATCAGTAGGAAAAATGTCACACGTGTGTCCGAGGTGTTATTGTCATCAGTAAAGGAAAAATGTCACACTGTAGCACGTGTCCGAGGTGTTATTGTCATCAGTAAAGGAAAAATGTCACACTGTAGCACGTGTCCGAGGTGTTATTGTCATCAGTAAAGGAAAAATGTCACACTGTAGCACGTGTCCGAGGTGTTATTGTCATCAGTAAAGGAAAAATGTCACACTGTAGCACGTGTCCGAGGTGTTATTGTCATCAGTAAAAGAAAAGATTCACACTGTAGCACGTGTCCGAGGTTTTATTGTCATCAGTAAAGGAAAAATGTCACACTGTAGCACGTGTCCGAGGTGTTATTGTCATCAGTAAAGGAAAAATGTCACACTGTAGCACGTGTCCGAGGTGTTATTGTCATCAGTAAAGGAAAAATGTCACACTGTAGCACGTGTCCGAGGTGTTATTGTCATCAGTAAAGGAAAAATGTCACACTGTAGCACGTGTCCGAGGTGTTATTGTCATCAGTAAAGGAAAAATGTCACACTGTAGCACGTGTCCGAGGTGTTATTGTCATCAGTAAAGGAATATGTCACACTGTAGCACGTGTCCGAGGTTTTATTGTCATCAGTAAAGGAAAAGTGTCACACTGTAGCACGTGTCCGAGGTGTTATTGTCATCAGTAAAGGAAAAATGTCACACTGTAGCACGTGTCCGAGGTGTTATTGTCATCAGTAAAGGAAAAATGTCACACTGTAGCACGTGTCCGAGGTGTTATTGTCATCAGTAAAGGAAAAATGTCACACTGTAGCACGTGTCCGAGGTTGTGTCATTAAAGGAAAAATGTCATCACGTGTCCGAGGTGTTATTGTCATCAGGAAAAATGTCACACTGTAGCACGTGTCCGAGGTGTTATTGTCATCAGTAAAGGAAAAATGTCACACTGTAGCACGTGTCCGAGGTGTTATTGTCATCAGTAAAGGAAAAATGTCACACTGTAGCACGTGTCCGAGGTGTTATTGTCATCAGTAAAGGAAAAATGTCACACTGTAGCACGTGTCCGAGGTGTTATTGTCATCAGTAAAGGAAAAATGTCACACTGTAGCACGTGTCCGAGGTGTTATTGTCATCAGTAAAGGAAAAATGTCACACTGTAGCACGTGTCCGAGGTGTTATTGTCATCAGTAAAGGAAAAATGTCACACTGTAGCACGTGTCCGAGGTGTTATTGTCATCAGTAAAGGAAAAATGTCACACTGTAGCACGTGTCCGAGGTGTTATTGTCATCAGTAAAGGAAAAATGTCACACTGTAGCACGTGTCCGAGGTGTTATTGTCATCAGTAAAGGAAAAATGTCACGCTGTGGCACATATCCGAGGTATTATTGTCATCAGTGAAGAAGAAAAAATGTCAAACTGTAGCACGTGTCCGAGGTGTTATTGTCATCAGTAAAGGAAAAATGTCACAGTGTAGCACGTGTCCGAGGTGTTATTGTCATCAGTAAAGGAAAAATGTCACACTGTAGCACGTGTCCGAGGTGTTATTGTCATCAGTAAAGGAAAAATGTCACACTGTAGCACGTGTCCGAGGTGTTATTGTCATCAGTAAAGGAAATATGTCACACTGTAGCACGTGTCCGAGGTGTTATTGTCATCAGTAAAGGAAAAATGTCACACTGTAGCACGTGTCCGAGGTGTTATTGTCATCAGTAAAGGAAAAATGTCACACTGTAGCACGTGTCCGAGGTGTTATTGTCATCAGTAAAGGAAAAATGTCACACTGTAGCACGTGTCCGAGGTGTTATTGTCATCAGTAAAGGAAATATGTCACACTGTAGCACGTGTCCGAGGTGTTATTGTCATCAGTAAAGGAAATATGTCACACTGTAGCACGTGTCCGAGGTGTTATTGTCATCAGTAAAGGAAATATGTCACACTGTAGCACGTGTCCGAGGTGTCATTGTCATCAGTAAAGGAAATATGTCACACTGTGACACGTGTCCGAGGTGTTATTGTCATCAGTAAAGGAAATATGTCACTGTAGCACGTGTCTGAGATGATATTGTCATCAGTAAGGCATGACGGGCACTCTCTAGATATCATTATTATTATCCAAATTCAATTTCTATGAAACAAGTAATCATACCAATGAAAAAAAAATCCAGGGAATTCCAAGTGGGCCCTACTTTCCTGGTCGTTTAGAATTACCAGGGATATACCTGGTCGTTTAGAATTACCAGGGATATACCTGGTCGTTTAGAATTACCAGGGATATACCTGGTCATCTAGAATTACCAGGGATATACCTGGTCGTTTAGAATTACCAGGGATATACCTGGTCGTTTAGAATTACCAGGGATATACCTGGTCGTTTAGAATTACTAGGGATATACCTGGTCGTTTAGAATTACCAAGGATATACCTGGTCATCTAGAATTACCAGGGATATGCCTGGCCATCTAGAATTACTGGGGATATACCTGGTCGCTTAGAATTACCAAGTATATTCCTGGTCATCTAGAATTACCAAGGATATACCTGGTCATCTAGAATTACCAAGGATATACCTGGTCATCTAGAATTACCAGGATAAACCTGACTGTCTACAATTACTTGGGATATACCCGGTTGCTTAGAAATATCTGGGATATACCTGGCAGCTTAAAATAACCAGGGATATACCTGGCCGCCTAGAATTACTGAGGATATACCTGGCCGCTTAAAATTAGCAGGGATATACCTGGCCGCTTATAATTACCAGGGATATACTGGCCGCATAGAATTACTGGGGATATACCTAGCCGCCTAGAATTACTGGGGATATACCTGGCCGCCTAGAATTACTGGGGATATACCTGGCCGCTTAAAATTACCAGGGATATAACTAGTCCCTTAGAATTACCAATGATATACCTGGCAGCTTAAAATTACCAGGGATATACCTGGCCACCTAGAATTACCAATGATATACCTGGCCACTTATAATTACCAAAGATATACCTGGCCGCTTATAATTACCAATGATATACCTGGCCGTCTAGAATTACTGTGGATATACCTGGCCACTTAGAATTACTGGGGATATACCTGGTCGCTTAGAATTACTGGGGATATACCTGGCCACTTATAATTACCAATGATATACCTGGCCGCTTATAATTACCAATGATATACCTGGTCGCTTAGAATTACTGGGGATATACCTGGTCGCTTAGAATTACTGGGGATATACCTGGCCACTTATAATTACCAAAGATATACCTGGCCGCTTATAATTACCAATGATATACCTGGTCGCTTAGAATTACTGGGGATATACCTGGTCGCTTAGAATTACTGGGGATATACCTGGACATCTAGAATTACCAATGATATACCTGGTCGCTTAGAATTACTGGGGATATACCTGGACATCTAGAATTACCAATGATATACCTGGTCGCTTAGAATTACTGTGAATATACCTGGCCGCTTATAATTACCAATGATATACCTGTCCGCCTAGAATTACCAGGGATATACCTGGCCGTCTAGAATTACTGTGGATATACCTGGCCGCTGATGATTTCCAATGATATACCTGGTCATCTAGAATTACCTGGGATATACCTGGCCGCTTAGCATTACTGTGGATATACCTGACCGTTTAGAATTACCAGGGATATACCTGGTCACCTAGAATTACTAGGGATATACCTGACCGTTTAGAATTACCAGGGATATACCTGGTCATCTAGAATTACCAGGGATATACCTGACCATCTAGAATTACCAGGGATATACCTGGTCATCTAGAATTACCAGGGATATACCTGGTCACCTAGAATTACTAGGGATATACCTGACCGTTTAGAATTACCAGGGATATACCTGGTCATCTAGAATTACCAGGGATATACCTGACCATCTAGAAATACCAGCATAAACCTGGCCGTCTAGAATTACCAGGGATATACATGGCCTGAAGAATTACCAGGGATATACCTGGCCGCTTAGCATTACTAGGGATATACCTGACCGTTTAGAATTACCAGGGATATACCTGGTCATCTAGAATTTCCAGGGATATACCTGACCGTTTAGAATTACCAATGATATACCTGGCCGCTGAGAATTACCTGGGATTAACCTGACGGCTTAGAATTACCTTTGATATACCTGACCGCTTAGAATTACCTGGGATATACCTGGCCGACTAGAATTACCAGGGATATACATGGCTGACTAAAATTACCAGGGATATACCTGGCTGACTAGAATTACCAGGGATATACCTGACCGATTAAAATTACCTGGGATATACCTGGCCAACGCCAGGTCATGACCAATTCTACAATTTTCTGCCCATTTGCTCGCTACCATGGCAACCTCGTCATCCCACCTGATCTTCTGCATATATACAGCATGCGTGACCTGCTGTCTGTAATGGTTGTGTAGGGCGACGATCTCCGTCTTCTCCACTTGAAGTATTCCTGGAAACAAAATACTGCTGACATATATAATTTCCTAAACTCGTTTTTGCTTTTGTTTTGTTTTCTGCTTCTTTTGTTTTCTTGGGGTTGGGGTTGGGGGGGGGGGGGTGTTTGTGATTTTTTATTGTCTACAGGCGATACGACATTTTTTCGTTGATGTGTTGTGTCGTTACAACGACAAAATATACTATGTGTTCTATAAACCAAAAATGGTCTTGGGTCATGTTGCTCTAAGACATATTAGTTCTTTCTTCGGTAAATTGTTCTGTTTATTAAACGATATTCCTAATATATATTATCTTACAATGCCAACTTTTTAAAACATGAATTTGGATCTAGAGGAACACTGACCCATGGACAGGAGGACACTGTGTAGCCTATTGCGACTGATGACGTCATACTCACCGGATGCGCTGACCTTCGGAGATTTACTTAAACAGGCCGAGTGGCCGGAAATAACTTCAAACTTCTCGTGACATCCTTCAACCACTAGACCTTAAAAACAGAACTTTTATCAAAATGGCCATTTATCACATACGTATATCTATGAAGGTATATTTCAAGAAACTAAGCAACAATAAAGACAATAATACAAAGTCGAAAGTTTGACGCACACCGTCACATTGTTGTAACAATCGTTCTCCACGTTTATTACGGTGTATCTAGCGCCACATCGTTGTAACAATCGTTCTCCACGTTTATCACGGTGTATCTAGTGCTACAACGTTGTGACTATCGTTCTCCACGTTTATCACAGTGTATCTAAAGCAACAATGTTGCGACTATCGTTCTCCACATTTATCACACTGTATCTATGCCACAATGTTGCGACAATCGTTCTCCGCGTTTATCACACTGTATCTATGCCACAACGTTGTGACTATCGTTCTCCACGTTTGTCACAGTGTATCTTATGCCACAACGTTGCGACAATCGTTCTCCACGTTTATCACAGCGTATCTAAAGCAACAATGTTGCGACTATCGTTCTCCACGTTTATCACACTGTATCTATGCCACAATGTTGCGACAATCGTTCTCAACGTTTATCACAGTGTATCTAGTGCCACAACGTTGTGACTATCGTTCTCCGCGTTTATCACAGTGTATCTAGTGCCACAACGTTGTGACTATCGTTCTCCGCGTTTCTCACAGTGTATCTAGTGCCACAACGTTGTGACTATCGTTCTCCGCGTTTCTCACAGTGTATCTAGTGCCACAACGTTGTGACTATCGTTCTCCGCGTTTCTCACAGTGTATCTAGTGCCACAACGTTGTGACTATCGTTCTCCGCGTTTATCACAGTGTATCTAGTGCCACAACGTTGTGACTATCGTTCTCCGCGTTTATCACAGTGTATCTAGTGCCACAACGTTGTGACTATCGTTCTCCGCGTTTATCACAGTGTATCTAGTGCCACAACTTTGTGACAAGGGTACTGATTTTTTCTTGTTGTGAAGTTAGCATATACCTTTAATAAATCTCGGCTCAAGACATTGAACTTAAATGTTGACAAGAGGTGACACATGGATTCAATTAAAACAGTCCTATTTACTGAGTCGATAGTTTGATCGCTCACTTTCATCTTTAATATTTAAATGTTTTTTTATCTGTTGTTATTCAAACACTACTGGCAACATTCAACAACACCTGGAGATAGAACGTCTCCTATCGGTTACAAATCCGGAGATATTGTGCCGTGGGTTGGTTCTTGCTAAGTAAGTTCAGATCACAATGCCTAGAAACTATCGTTATCAAAGTTGATTAAAATTTAAAGCGTGGACAATGATTTCAGTAAGTGAAGAAACAATTTAACAAAAGATCAATAAAGCACACTATATGTACTCTATTCATCAAACAATCCGACATTGATGACATTTCTATCAGTGTATAGATTTAGTCTGGATTACCAATAATACTCTACCCATTTATCATGTTGGTAGGTTATACAAGATTTAAATTGTTAACAGAATCTTAAATTAATTCATCAAATTTCCTGTTGTACGGTTACTGTACTATACATGCTTATTGATTTAATACAGTTCTTTATTCACGGTGAGATGATAGTGATTTATTTTAAGTGCAGAAGGTAAAACAGATATCGATTTAAACCACAAGTGTTTGGGCCCAGCACGTAGGTCAGGGTATCTGTATTTATCCAAACAACCACAAACATCCGCCATCTGCAGAAAAAGTTAATACAAAGAAAGCATTTTAGAAAATCATTTTGTAAAGTTTCAACAATCATTTCTCTTATGTTTATAGATATAACTATATTTATTTACTTGAAAAGTATATGTATATCATTAACACCTCTTTAATTCAACCACATCAATGAAACCCGTCTAATTCAACCACAGCAATCACACCTGTCTAATTCAACCACATCAATCACACCTTTCTGATTCAACAATAACAAGAAAAGGAAAGTTTCAAACTTTTGAAAAGTTTTGCTGTAACTAGATATAATTTTCTGATGATGACGATATGATAAACACAATGTTATTTCAATTTCTACTCAAAATAGATTCGATGTGCCAAAATGTAGTCTGTTTCATGTGTCTATGAATCTGACCAGATAAACACTGACGTATGAATACGCCCTTTACAAATTATATTTATGATAAACTTTAAATTGAAGTAATCAACTTTGCTCCAGATTTGGAGAATGTAGATTGATAAAGATAATTCATATATACATAAAAATCATTGGGTAAATCAAAATATGACATTACGGTAATTTTTAAAAGAACAGATTTTTTTTCCTATTTTGATATCTGCTTTGGAGTGGCAAATATTGTTGTCTGATACAAATGTTTCTAACCTTCCACTACCTGACAATGAAAATCTCCAACACGACAAAGAGAGCGTCCACTGAGCGGTTTTCATGAAGAACTTCTTCTTGACTAAGTTCTAGTGGCCCTGGACACATCGACTACTGAGAAACGCCACAAAACACACTCCATGACAATTTTTTAAATGATTGCTGCCCAGTTCGACGCAGAACTGTGTTCCGCGCAGCTGTCGGAGGATTATCATAATTTCTACAACATGTTGACAAGGGAAATAATTATTTCAAAATTAGATTATACTGTTATTGTAGGACTATATTTTAACGCAATCATTTAGACTTGCACAAGTTCTGGTAACTGCGGACTTTGTTCAAAATAATGAAAACAACCTGGGGGGGGGAGGGGGGGTGTTTCATTTATGTCCAGTCAATCGTTTAACCCTATATTTCTGTTTAGTCAATCGTTTAACCCTATATTTCTATTTAGTCAATCGTTTAACCCTATATTTCTGTTTAGTCAATGTTTAAACCCTATATTTCTATTTAGTCAATCGTTTAACCCTATATTTCCGTTTAGTCAATGTTTTAACCCTATATTTCTATTTAGTCAATCGTTTAACCCTATATTTCCGTTTAGTCAATGTTTTAACCCTATATTTCTATTTAGTCAATCGTTTAACCCTATATTTCTATTTAGTCAATCGTTTAACCCTATATTTCCGTTTAGTCAATCGTTTAACCCTATATTTCTGTTTAGTCAATGTTTTAACCCTATATTTCTGTTTAGTCAATCGTTTAACCCTATATTTCTGTTTAGTCAATCGTTTAACCCTATATTTCCGTTTAGTCAATGTTTTAACCCTATATTTCTATTTAGTCAATCGTTTAACCCTATATTTCTATTTAGTCAATCGTTTAACCCTATATTTCTGTTTAGTCAATCGTTTAACCCTATATTTCTATTTAGTCAATCGTTTAACCCTATATTTCTGTTTAGTCAATGTTTTAACCCTATATTTCTATTTAGTCAATCGTTTAACCCTATATTTCCGTTTAGTCAATGTTTTAACCCTATATTTCTATTTAGTCAATCGTTTAACCCTATATTTCTATTTAGTCAATCGTTTAACCCTATATTTCTGTTTAGTCAATTTTTAACCCTATATTTCTATTTAGTCAATCGTTTAACCCTATATTTCTGTTTAGTCAATTTTTAACCCTATATAATACTGAAGCAACAAGCATAAGATACAATATTTCCTTATTCACGCTTAATACACAAAATGCAACAAAGCTAAAGGAATTATTATTATGTAACCGTGACGTCATATTTACCTGTGGTGACGAGGATGACCAGTGTCCAGGTGACTCTCCAATACGACCACATTTTGAAGTTTGTGACTACCAATCTTAACAACAAGGCTAATATAGACTTTATCTTTTCAATATTAATTCAGATGAAAAGAGCTCTTATCAGGAGGAGGTCGTATACGCATGTCTATATTTGGCTGACTTAAGGGATGGATTAATTATTTCTGTAATACACAAACCATTTTATCAGCCAACGCCTCTTAAGTTTGTTTCCGTCGTCCATGGAAACCATTGTTACTTTCATAGTAAGAACGATCCCAGGTAAACAGAGGGTATACTGCAAGAGAGACGGGAGAAGGATATGGAAGATTGGAGAAATAGTGTAACGGGTCGAGAGGGGACAGGAAGGTAGGAATGGGCTGGGGGCAGTGTCTTTGGAAAGGGAAGATTTGAGCAGTAGTGTAAGGGGGCCGAGAGGGGACAGGAAGGTAGGAATGGGCTGGGGCAGTGTCTATGGAAAAGGAAGATTTGAGCAGTAGTGTAAGGGGGCCGAGAGGGGACAGGAAGGTAGGAGTGGGCAGGGGGCAGTGTCTATGAATAGGGAAGATTGCAGCAGTAGAGTACGAGTCGAGAGGGGACAGGAAGGTAGGAGTGGGCAGGGGCCAGTGTCTATGAACGGCGAAGATTGCAGCAGTAGAGTACGAGTCGAGAGGGGACAGGAAGGTAGGAATGGGCTAGGGGCAGTCTATGGATAGAGAAGATTTGAGCAGTAGTGTAAGGGGGGCCGAGAGGGGACAGGAAGGTAGGAATGGGCTGGGGGCAGTGTCTATGGAAAGGGAAGATTTGAGCAGTAGTGTAAGGGGGCCGAGAGGGGACAGGGTGGTAGGAATGGGCTGGGGGCAGTGTCTATGGATAGGGAAGATTGGAGCAGTAGTGTAACGGGTCGAGAGGGGAAAGTAAGGTAAGAATGGGCTGGGGACAGTGTCTATGAATAGGGAAGATTGGAGCAGTAGTATAAGGGGGCCGAGAGGGGACAGGAAGGTAGGAGTGGTCTGGGGGCATGGTCTATGGATAGGGAAGATTGGAGCAGTATTGTAGGAGGTCAAGAGGGGACAGGAAGGTAGGAGTTGGCTGGGGGCAGTGTCTATGGATAGGAAAGATTGGAGCAGTAGTGTAAGGGGGCCGAGAGGGGACAGGAAGGTAGGAGTGGGCTGGGGACAGTGTCTATGGATAGGGAAGACTGGAGCAGTAGTGTAAGGGGGCCGAGAGGGTACAGGAAAGTAGGAATGGGCCGGGGGCAGTGTCTATGGATAGGGAAGATTGGAGCAGTAGTGCAAGGGGCCGAGAGGGGACAGGAAGGTAGGTGTGGGCTGGGGACAGTGTCTATGGATAGGGAAGATTGGAGCAATATTGTAGGAGGTCGAGAGGGGACAGGAAGGTAGGAATGCGCTGGGGGCAGTGTCTATGGATAGGGAAGATTGGAGCAGTAGTGTAAGGGGGCCGAGAGGGGACAGGAAGGTAGGAATGGGCTGGGGGCAGTGTCTATGGATAGGGAAGATTGGAGCAGTAGTGTAACGGGTCGAGAGGGGAAAGTAAGGTAAGAATGGGCTGGGGACAGTGTCTATGAATAGGGAAGATTGGAGCAGTAGTATAAGGGGGCCGAGAGGGGACAGGAAGGTAGGAGTGGTCTGGGGGCATGGTCTATGGATAGGGAAGATTGGAGCAGTATTGTAGGAGGTCAAGAGGGGACAGGAAGGTAGGAGTTGGCTGGGGGCAGTGTCTATGGATAGGAAAGATTGGAGCAGTAGTGTAAGGGGGCCGAGAGGGGACAGGAAGGTAGGAGTGGGCTGGGGACAGTGTCTATGGATAGGGAAGACTGGAGCAGTAGTGTAAGGGGGCCGAGAGGGTACAGGAAAGTAGGAATGGGCCGGGGGCAGTGTCTATGGATAGGGAAGATTGGAGCAGTAGTGCAAGGGGCCGAGAGGGGACAGGAAGGTAGGTGTGGGCTGGGGACAGTGTCTATGGATAGGGAAGATTGGAGCAATATTGTAGGAGGTCGAGAGGGGACAGGAAGGTAGGAATGCGCTGGGGGCAGTGTCTATGGATAGGGAAGATTGGAGCAGTAGTGTAAGGGGGCCGAGAGGGGACAGGAAGGTAGGAATGGGCTGGGGGCAGTGTCTATGAATAGAGGAGATTAGAGCAGTAGTGTAAGGGGGCCGAGAGGGGACAGGAAGGTAGGAATGGGCTGGGGGCAGTGTCTATGGATAGGGAAGATTGGAGCAGTAGTGTAAGGGGGCCGAGAGGGGACAGGAAGGTAGGAATGCGCTGGGGGCAGTGTCTATGGATAGGGAAGATTGGAGCAGTAGTGTAAGGGGGCCGAGAGGGGACAGGAAGGTAGGAGTTGGCAGGGGCCAGTGTCTATGAACGGCGAAGATTGCAGCAGTAGAGTACGAGTCGAGAGGGGACAGGAAGGTAGGAATGGGCTAGGGGCAGTCTATGGATAGAGAAGATTTGAGCAGTAGTGTAAGGGGGGGCCGAGAGGGGACAGGAAGGTAGGACTGGGCTGGGGGCAGTGTCTATGGAAAGGGAAGATTTGAGCAGTAGTGTAAGGGGGCCGAGAGGGGACAGGGTGGTAGGAATGGGCTGGGGGCAGTGTCTATGGATAGGGAAGATTGGAGCAGTAGTGTAACGGGTCGAGAGGGGAAAGTAAGGTAAGAATGGGCTGGGGACAGTGTCTATGAATAGGGAAGATTGGAGCAGTAGTATAAGGGGGCCGAGAGGGGACAGGAAGGTAGGAGTGGTCTGGGGGCATGGTCTATGGATAGGGAAGATTGGAGAGGTATTGTAGGAGGTCAAGAGGGGACAGGAAGGTAGGAGTTGGCTGGGGGCAGTGTCTATGGATAGGAAAGATTGGAGCAGTAGTGTAAGGGGGCCGAGAGGGGACAGGAAGGTAGGAGTGGGCTGGGGACAGTGTCTATGGATAGGGAAGACTGGAGCAGTAGTGTAAGGGGGCCGAGAGGGTACAGGAAAGTAGGAATGGGCCGGGGGCAGTGTCTATGGATAGGGAAGATTGGAGCAGTAGTGCAAGGGGCCGAGAGGGGACAGGAAGGTAGGTGTGGGCTGGGGACAGTGTCTATGGATAGGGAAGATTGGAGCAATATTGTAGGAGGTCGAGAGGGGACAGGAAGGTAGGAATGCGCTGGGGGCAGTGTCTATGGATAGGGAAGATTGGAGCAGTAGTGTAAGGGGGCCGAGAGGGGACAGGAAGGTAGGAATGGGCTGGGGGCAGTGTCTATGAATAGAGGAGATTAGAGCAGTAGTGTAAGGGGGCCGAGAGGGGACAGGAAGGTAGGAATGGGCTGGGGGCAGTGTCTATGGATAGGGAAGATTGGAGCAGTAGTGTAAGGGGGCCGAGAGGGGACAGGAAGGTAGGAATGGGCTGGGGGCAGTGTCTATGGATAGGGAAGATTGGAGCAGTAGTGTAAGGGGGCCGAGAGGGGACAGGAAGGTAGGAATGCGCTGGGGGCAGTGTCTATGGATAGAGGAGATTAGAGCAGTAGTGTAAGGGGGCCGAGAGGGGACAGGAAGGTAGGAATGGGCTGGGGGCAGTGTCTATGAATAGGGAATATTGGAGCAGTATTGTAGGAGGTCGAGAGGGGACAGGAAGGTAGGAGTTGGCTGGGGGCAGTGTCTATGGATAGGGAAGATTGGAGCAGTAGCGTAAGGGGGCCGAGAGGGTACAGGAAAGTAGGAATGGGCCGGGGGCAGTGTCTACGGATAGGGAAAATTGGAGCAGTAGTGTAAGGGGCCGAGAGGGGAGAGGAAGTAGGAATGGGCTGGGGCAGTGTCTATAGATAGGAAGATTGGAGCAGTATTGTAGGAGGTCAAGAGGGGACGGGAAGGTAGGAGTGGGCTGGGGGCAGTGTCTATGGATAGGGAAGATTGCAGCAGTAGTGTAACGGGTCGAGAGGGGAGAGTAAGATAAGAATGGACTGGGGGCAGTGTCTATGGATAGGGAAGATTGGAGCAGTAGTGTAACGGGTCGAGAGGGGACAGGAAGGTAAGAATAGGCTGGGGACAATGTCTATAAATAGGGAAGATTGGAGCAGTATTGTAAGGGCCGAGAGGGGACAGGAAGGTAAGAATGGGCTGGGGGCAGTGTCTATGGATAGGGAAGATTGGAGCAGTAGTGTAAGGGGGCCAATTGGGGACAGGATGGTAGGAATTGGCTGCGGGCAGTGTCTATGGATAGGGAACATTGGAGCAGTATTGTAGGAGGTCGAGAGGGGACAGGAAAGTAGGAGTGGGCTGGGGGTGGTGTCTATGAATAGAGAAGATTAGAGCAGTAGTGTAAGGGGGCCGAGAGGGGACAGGAAGGTAAGAATGGGCTGGGGGCAGTGTCTATGGATAGGGAAGATTGGAGCAGTAGTGTAAGGGGGCCAATTGGGGACAGGAAGGTAGGAGTTGGCTGGGGGCAGTGTCTATGGATAGGGAAGATTGGAGCAGTAGTGTAAGGGGCCGAGAGGGACAGGAAAGTAGGAATGGGCTCGGGGCAGTGTCTAAGGATAGGGAAGATTGGAGCAGACGCCTATAAATCGAAAGTCTAAAAATTTTCAGCTAACTTCAGATCACGGTATGGATCGTTTCATCAGACATTTAAAAAGAATTAGCTTGGCCCATTGTGATTTGGTTTCAAAAAATAATTTTGTTATAAATATTTAACTCGTCAACATCGGCTGAATGAAATGTGACAAGTTGAAAATATGAAAGTTAATCTGATGCCACGACGGACTTTTTAAAAAATTTTATTTCAAATCGACGGAGAGATAATCTTCACCCGGATCGATGAATAATTTCAGACAAATTAGTCATCTCACTCAAACTGGAAGAGTTGTCCGTATTTCACGTTTATCAGGCAAACGATAGATATATTGAGAGTTTTGTATGTTATCAAAAGTCATCTCTTCCTTAGCAATGATTCAGTTAAACAGATGAGACTGACGTAAGGATGAGCGGACCAGCGGACTGACAATGGACAAGGAACGATGGGTAATGCCCTAGACCAGCAGACGTAAGGACGAGTGGACCGACGGTGGACAAGGAACGATGGGTAATACCCTAGACCAGAAGACGTAAGGACGAGCGGACCGACGAACTGACGATGGACAAGGAACACTGGATAATACCCTAGACCAGAAGACGTAAGGACGAGTGGACCGACGGTGGACAAGGAACGATGGGTAATACCCTAGACCAGGAGATGTAAAGACGAGCGGACCGGCGGACTGACAATGGACAACGAACACTGGGTAATACCCAAGACCAGAAGACGTAAGGACGAGTGGACCGACGGTGGACAAGGAACGATGGGTAATACCCTAGACCAGGAGATGTAAGGACGAGCGGACCGCCGGTGGACATACCACGGGCCAGCAGACATATTGACAAGCGAGCGGACAAACGTCATGTCAGATTTGGTATAATGTATGAAGGCAGATTCAGTAGTTGGAAACAGTACTTTTCATATGACTACACTTAGAAATTTTAATTTGTAACATATGATATATAGTTGCTAATGTGCTTCAGTTTCATCATTCGATAACTATACTGAAAGGATAAAGAAACGCAGGGTAATATTTATTCCGATATTTTGAAAACGCGTTCTCCAGATAAAGTGAAACTTTGTGGATTGAGTAATTAGGTCATATTACACCTTGTCATGTATCGAAATTTTAGTCACGGTACAGTGCGCAGCTCTGGTAAATGGAGGAAGGAAAAAACAAGAATCTCGTGCACCGCGTTGTTCTGGTCTCATGCAGCGTTGGCCAAGTCACTCTTCGTTAGTCTTTAAACAGACCAACTGCTTCCCTAAAATTAATTGAGAATTTGATTCGTTTTAAGAATGACACGACTCACAGAAGTTCAGAGGGAAACTGGGCGATTGGCCGATCGACCTGGGTCAGGACGTCCGCGCGTAACGTCACGACGTCAGGATCGCTATATCGTCGTCTCTCATGTGCGTAATCGGCGCCTTACTGCCGTTGAGTGCACTTAATGTTCGTGGAAATCATGGGCGTCCTATAAGTTCAAAAACTGTAAGGAATCGATTACGAGAAGTTGGTGCAAGAGCACGTCGCCCCTACGTAGGTCCACACCTTACCCCTGCTCGACGTCAGCGTCGTATGGCCTGGGTCGCTGCATATCCTCCACGACGGTTTCCACTGAGGCAGTGGAGACAAGTTTTCTTCACGGACGAGTCTCGATTCTGTCTTTATCGATCTGACGGCCGTCAAAGTGTCTACCAACGTCGTGGCGAACGTTTTACCGACGCTTGCGTTGTAGAGAGGGATAGGTTTGGGGGCGGTCCAGTAATGGTGTGGGGAGGAATCTCACACGGGTTAAAATAACAATTGGTTGTTATTGATGGCAATTTAACAGCAGCTAAGTATAGAGATGAGAACTCTATGACCAGAAGAATAAGGGCCGTGACCACAGCAAACGGCGGACACACAAGATATTGATGACTCAGTTCAATTTCAAAATCCTATGGGTCCATTCAATTTAATCGTTAGTACCTCTAAACTAATTGTCAGATGCAAAATACAGACTTTGGAAAATTTTCAGCTTTAATCTATCTGCAAGTATACAAAATTTCGTTTTAAATGAAGCCCGATATCATACTTAATTTCTGGTTTAAAGTTCACCCTGCGTTTCTTTATCCTTTTAGTATAGAAGCCGTCAGATCTCACCTGGTGGAGCATGGGACAAATGTTACCTCATGTAAGAATTGAGGTGTGTATTTATATCACTGTCAATGTTAGAGTTTCTCAGGAAGATGGATCATGTTATGATAAAGTCCGTAATACTATATCTCTGTTGCCCTGGATAGCATGCGACGTGCCTCTGGCTTATTGTGCACGAGGGAGCCACCAGCTAGCCTTAATCTGTCACTTAGTATTCCATGGTTTTTTTCATAACTTGATTGACATTTCACATTGACCTATAACCTCGGATTTCGGTCAAGGTCATTTTTTATTGCAAATTGTGTGGACTTGATCCGTGGATTAAATATCAGGACTTACAGGCAAAACACATTGATTCTAGGCCTCTTTGATTTCTTGGTTAATCAGAAAGTGTTGTTTAAATGTTTTTAACAAATCTGGTCCCGTATTTATGAAACCGTTCTCATGCTCAAGCATGAACTTTCCAAAGATTTAAAAAAAAAAAATGAAAGGACTTCAATTCAAAGTTATATTCCATGTTCATATTTGACATTTTTATTATTTTATATGATTTAGGAGAATTATGAAAAAGTTTGCTTGAGCACAAAATCTATGCTTTAACATGAGAATGGTTTCATGAATACGGGCCCAGGTCTCTACTACTATAAACATGGGTCAAGGTCATTTCTTACATCAAACTAAGGATTTATTCAAGGAATCTGAAAGCCAAACATCGTGATTCTGAGCATTTTGGTCATTGAGAAGAAGTTTAAAGGTAAAAGTTGGCAAAATGGACTTCTAGTGCCCTTTGAGATGAAAAAATTCACAAGAAAGACAACCAACTACAACTTATCTCCCTTAATGCATTACAACCACAGAAATATATAACAAAACAAAATATCTGTACATTGTTTTATTGAAAATGATCTTGAACATATACAGATTTCAACCATACACACAGTTTAACCATCATTATACTCACAAGACAATCACAGGCATCCTTATATATACAACAACAACAGACACTTTCATCGATCTAGCTCTCCCAATTATCATTCTACATGTACCTTAGAAATATATGATAAATTTGAATGCACCATTCACTGGTCTGAAACAAGTAATCTGAAATTACTGGTATCTTTGGAAATCAGCAGACAGGTAGTTACCTTATTATCATCAGAAATATCTTTCTACTGATTTTTCAAAAATTAGTGCGAGGTGAGAGATAAGCCTGACTTGGATACCACCCAGAATGAAGGGCGATGGAGAAATAGGGACAATCAATGCAAGTTACAATCACAACAAGTTCATTAGTGTTGTTGACCGGTTTTGCTGAACTACGTGGAGCTCCATCAGGTCCTGATCAAGTCCACATCCCTGGGGCCAGACTGTCCACAACACTTATAAACTTAAAACCAACTTCTCCTTGTGAGGATTCATATCTTGTTTTTTTTTCTGATTTTTCCCCCTGATTTAGTAGCGATTAGGTCTTCGGTCTTGAAACATAACAAAATAGGATAATAAAAATGATAGTGTTAGCCTCATCTCCTTAACAAGCAGTTATATATGAAGGGATTATCGAGACACCTAAATTTACACCACCACTCTCTATTTAGATTTATAACTTTGTGTTTGTTTAATGTTCTATGTATCTGATGTAATTTATGTGATATTTGTGTCTTGATAAAGGGGTAGGTTGCCTTGAAAATTTGACAATTCGCTTCTCCGTACTGTTGCTATTACTTCATTGATCTATCATAGGTTATGATATAATTGCTTTCATTACCATATGACAAAATTTGCTAATTTAACAAAATAATAAATGAAGTAAGTGTCACTTTACAGCTGACAACTGCATTGACCCGAATTAAGTACAACTCAGTAAAACCTGTCACCACCCACATGTAGAGATTTACTCAAGAGCAAAAATAAAAGTTGAATGGTAATGATAAAATCAACCACTTCAATAAGTTGGGAGATTCAACATGGTACTGAAATTATTTCAAATCCCATTATTATCGAAAGCAACATACACCCAGAAAGAGGGTGAACTGGTTTTATTTAACAAGAATTTACAGTCTACAGTATAACAGGACAGTACTGTAGTCTCTACATGATTTATCTCTCAACATGTGTCGTGTCAACAAAAGAATAGCTACCGAGATCTGGAAAAGTTACAACAATATTTTAGCAACACCTCCATTTTATATGTAGAATATGTAAGATTCATTTCCGTTTTTTGTTGGATGGTCTTTCAAACACTTGTTTCATTCCTCCACCCTTTCCCGCCTGGAACTTGAGATTCTGTGCTGTGTCAGTCATCCATGGTGAGTCAAATTGAGTTGTGTCTTGGTCCACAAGATGGGTGTACTTCGTCCTGCCTGAACGACCGAAGTTCTTGACCTGAAATAATTACCGCACACACACTTCTTAACATGTCACTTGACAAAATGCTATACAGAAATTACTGAATTGGCCAACCTGAACAAAGCAGAAGGTTCATGTGTTTTTAAACCTGAAGGATTTCTGATTCTCTCTAGAGGTCTTAATCACAAAGGCCAGAACAGTAAAACAAGACACAATTACTCTTCTTTATCTGATGATATTAAGTTATAAACTATCATAGGATTCACAGGATATCTTAACAATCTAACAATAGGATATCTAATGACTGGATATCTGATGACTGGACATCTAATGACTGGACATCTAATGACTGGACATCTAATGACTGGATATCTGATGACCAGACATCTGATGACTGGACATCTGATGACTGGACATCTAATGACTGGATATCTTATAATTGGACATCTAATGACTGGACATCTTATGACTGGACATCTAATGACTGGATATCGTATGATTGGACATCTAATCACTGGACATCTAATCACTGGACATCTGATGACTGGACATCTAATGACTGGATAGCTAATGACTGGACATCTAATGACTGGATAGCTAATGACTGGACATCTATTGACTGGACATCTAATGACTGGACATCTAATGACTGGACAGCTAATGACTGGACATCTTATGACTGGACATCTGATGACTGGACATCTAATGACTGGATAGCTAATGACTGGACATCTGATGACTGGATAGCTAATGACTGGATATCTGATGACTGGACATCTAATGACTGGATAGCTAATGACTGGACATCTAATGACTGGATAGCTAATGACTGGACATCTGATGACTGGACATCTAATGACTGGATAGCTAATGACTGGACATCTGATGACTGGATATCTGATGACTGGACATCTTATGACTGTATATCTAATGACTGAATATCTATTGACTGGACATCTGATGACTGGACATCTAATGACTGGATAGCTAATGACTGGACATCTGATGACTGGACATCTGATGACTGGATAGCTAATGACTGGACATCTTATGACTGTATATCTAATGACTGGACATCTTATGACTGAATATCTAATGACTGGACATCTGATGACTGGATATCTAATGACTGAATATCTAATGACTGGATATCTATTGACTGGATATCTTATGACTGGATATCTAATGACTGGACATCTAATGACTGGACATCTAATGACTGGATATCTATTGACTGGATATCTAATGACTGGATATCTATTGACTGGATATCTAATGACTGGATATCTATTGACTGGATATCTAATGACTGGATATCTATTGACTGGATATCTATTGACTGGATATCTAATGACTGGATATCTAATGACTGGACATCTAATGACTGGACATCTAATGACTGGATATCTAATGACTGGATATCTATTGACTGGATATCTAATGACTGGATATCTATTGACTGGATATCTAATGACTGAATATCTATTGACTGGATATCTATTGACTGGATATCTAATCATTCAATCTGAAAGCTAAAAGTTCACTCATACTTGTACATATGTTACTGAACATAATCTTGTCTGATAAAGATGACAGAAAACACATTGTTTATGTCACTCAAACCTAACCTTAATTTCCAAAATGAATTTGCTACAATGACATTTGCAGGTTCAAATTATGATTTATTAATGGTCTAGATCCAAAATTGTGCTTTAAAAACAAAAAATATCAATATTAATTACGTAATCTTGTAGGGGAGGTAATCACAATAATAACTGATGTTACTGTCATTTTCCTTCATTATGTGGTACATCCAATATGATCTGTAGACGAATATTCAAATCAAGTTTTCTTGTTTCCATTATATTCATGTGAAAGTATGCTCACTGATTTCATTTTATAACAAAGTTTAGTGAGTCTGGTGTGTACAGTATCACCATCATATGACAGATTTATATCATCTGCCAGGTAACTAACAGGTACAGAAGGTCAAGATTTGCTTATAATGTTTGTTTCCTTGATACTGAAGTCCTCTTTAGTAAACAGTCAAACCTTCTTGTCTCGAAATTAGCAAATTGGGAAAACTTTGAACTATCTAAGTATTTGATTTAAGTTAGTTTGAATGTTTGGTGTGATGGTTGGCAAGGAACAATGAAATATTTTGAATTAAATGGGGTCTCCTGTGATAAATGTTTATGAATTTGACATCACAGAGTACGACTTTATGTCAAAATTTTACGAGAAAAATGATGACAGAACACTGGAATGCTACAGTAGTTACATCAGTAGATATTTTCCTACAGTAACCAACAGTTACTGTAGTTGTTGTGTTACAGACCTGCATGACTTTGGGAAGGATGGTTTTATCAAAATGATCTTCTAGTGTTGGCGCTGAGAAATCTCTTTTATATACATCATCATCCTGGCTCTGAAACGACAAAATAAACAAGTTCTCACTCTGAACTACAAAATAAACAAGTTCTCACTCTGAACTACAAAATAAACAAGTTCTCACTCTGAACTATGAAATAAACAAGTTCTCACTCTGAACTATAAAATAAACAAGTTCTCACTCTGAACTATAAAATAAACAAGTTCTCACTCTGAACTATAAAATAAACAAGTTCTCACTCTGAACTATAAAATAAACAAGTTCTCACTCTGAACTATAAAATAAACAAGTTCTCACTCTGAACTATAAAATAAACAAGTTCTCACTCTGAACTATGAAATAAACAAGTTCTCACTCTGAACTATAAAATAAACAAGTTCTCACTCTGAACTATAAAATAAACAAGTTCTCACTCTGAACTATGAAATAAACAAGTTCTCACTCTGAACTATAAAATAAACAAGTTCTCACTCTGAACTATAAAATAAACAAGTTCTCACTCTGAACTATAAAATAAACAAGTTCTCACTCTGAACTATAAAATAAACAACATCTAGAAGGCAGGGTTTCTCTTTCAAAATTGTATCTCAAACAGGGCTAAAAAGACTTTCACTTCAGACAAAACAAAATTATGTGGGTCAACCTTTCAGTATGTGAGAGAAGATACTGTTTCAAAATTACATCTCAAACATCATAAGAAGAACTTTCACAGAAGTGGACTTAAAATTACATGAATCATCCTCCCACTATGTGAGCAGACTGTATCTCTGATGATAACCAAGAAGAAGGCCCCTCCATGATATTTCCCCATCAGTGCCTGTATCTCTGATGATAACCAAGAAGAAGGCCCCTCCATGATATTTCCCCATCAGTGCCTGTATCTCTGATGATAACCAAGAAGAAGGCCCCTCCATGATATTTCCCCATCAGTGCCTGTATCTCTGATGATAACCAAGAAGGCCCCTCCATGATATTTCCCCATCAGTCCCTGTATCTCTGATGATAACCAAGAAGGCCCCTCCATGATATTTCCCCATCAGTGCCTGTATCTCTGATGATAACCAAGAAGAGGGCCCCTCCATGATATTTCCCCATCAGTGCCTGTATCTCTGATGATAACCAAGAAGGCCCCTCCATGATATTTCCCCATCAGTGCCTGTATCTCTGATGATAACCAAGAAGAAGGCCCCTCCATGATATTTCCCCATCAGTGCCTGTATCTCTGATGATAACCAAGAAGAAGGCCCCTCCATGATAATTCCCCATCAGTGCCTGTATCTCTGATGATAACCAAGAAGAGGGCCCCTCCATGATAATTCCCCATCAGTGCCTGTATCTCTGATGATAACCAAGAAGAGGGCCCCTCCATGATATTTCCCCATCAGTGCCTGTATCTCTGATGATAACCAAGAAGGCCCCTCCATGATATTTCCCCATCAGTGCCTGTATCTCTGATGATAACCAAGAAGAAGGCCCCTCCATGATATTTCCCCATCAGTGCCTGTATCTCTGATGATAACCAAGAAGAAGGCCCCTCCATGATATTTCCCCATCAGTGCCTGTATCTCTGATGATAACCAAGAAGAAGGCCCCTCCATGATATTTCCCCATCAGTGCCTGTATCTCTGATGATAACCAAGAAGAAGGCCCCTCCATGATATTTCCCCATCAGTGCCTGTATCTCTGATGATAACCAAGAAGAAGGCCCCTCCATGATATTTCCCCATCAGTGCCTGTATCTCTGATGATAACCAAGAAGGCCCCTCCATCATATTTCCCCATCAGTGCCTGTATCTCTGATGATAACCAAGAAGAAGGCCCCTCCATGATATTTCCCCATCAGTGCCTGTATCTCTGATGATAACCAAGAAGAAGGCCCCTCCATGATATTTCCCCATCAGTGCCTGTATCTCTGATGATAACCAAGAAGGCCCCTCCATGATATTTCCCCATCAGTGCCTGTATCTCTGATGATAACCAAGAAGGCCCCTCCATGATATTTCCCCATCAGTGCCTGTATCTCTGATGATAACCAAGAAGAAGGCCCCTCCATGATATTTCCCCATCAGTGCCTGTATCTCTGATGATAACCAAGAAGGCCCCTCCATGATATTTCCCCATCAGTGCCTGTATCTCTGATGATAACCAAGAAGAAGGCCCCTCCATGATATTTCCCCATCAGTGCCTGTATCTCTGATGATAACCAAGAAGAAGGCCCCTCCATGATATTTCCCCATCAGTGCCTGTATCTCTGATGATAACCAAGAAGAAGGCCCCTCCATGATATTTCCCCATCAGTGCCTGTATCTCTGATGATAACCAAGAAGAAGGCCCCTCCATGATATTTCCCCATCAGTGCCTGTATCTCTGATGATAACCAAGAAGGCCCCTCCATGATATTTCCCCATCAGTGCCCTCTGATGATAACCAAGAAGGCCCCTCCATTATTTCCCCATCAGTGCCTGTATCTCTGATGATAACCAAGAAGAAGGCCCCTCCATGATATTTCCCCATCAGTGCCTGTATCTCTGATGATAACCAAGAAGAAGGCCCCTCCATGATATTTCCCCATCAGTGCCTGTATCTCTGATGATAACCAAGAAGAAGGCCCCTCCATGATATTTCCCCATCAGTGCCTGTATCTCTGATGATAACCAAGAAGAAGGCCCCTCCATGATATTTCCCCATCAGTGCCTGTATCTCTGATGATAACCAAGAAGAAGGCCCCTCCATGATATTTCCCCATCAGTGCCTGTATCTCTGATGATAACCAAGAAGAAGGCCCCTCCATGATATTTCCCCATCAGTGCCTGTATCTCTGATGATAACCAAGAAGAAGGCCCCTCCATGATATTTCCCCATCAGTGCCTGTATCTCTGATGATAACCAAGAAGAAGGCCCCTCCATGATATTTCCCCATCAGTGCCTGTATCTCTGATGATAACCAAGAAGAAGGCCCCTCCATGATATTTCCCCATCAGTGCCTGTATCTCTGATGATAACCAAGAAGAAGGCCCCTCCATGATATTTCCCCATCAGTGCCTGTATCTCTGATGATAACCAAGAAGAAGGCCCCTCCATGATATTTCCCCATCAGTGCCTGTATCTCTGATGATAACCAAGAAGAAGGCCCCTCCATGATATTTCCCCATCAGTGCCTGTATCTCTGATGATAACCAAGAAGAAGGCCCCTCCATGATATTTCCCCATCAGTGCCTGTATCTCTGATGATAACCAAGAAGAAGGCCCCTCCATGATATTTCCCCATCAGTGCCTGTATCTCTGATGATAACCAAGAAGGCCCCTCCATGATATTTCCCCATCAGTGCCTGTATCTCTGATGATAACCAAGAAGAAGGCCCCTCCATGATATTTCCCCATCAGTGCCTGTATCTCTGATGATAACCAAGAAGAAGGCCCCTCCATGATATTTCCCCATCAGTGCCTGTATCTCTGATGATAACCAAGAAGAAGGCCCCTCCATGATATTTCCCCATCAGTGCCTGTATCTCTGATGATAACCAAGAAGAAGGCCCCTCCATGATATTTCCCCATCAGTGCCTGTATCTCTGATGATAACCAAGAAGAAGGCCCCTCCATGATATTTCCCCATCAGTGCCTGTATCTCTGATGATAACCAAGAAGAAGGCCCCTCCATGATATTTCCCCATCAGTGCCTGTATCTCTGATGATAACCAAGAAGAAGGCCCCTCCATGATATTTCCCCATCAGTGCCTGTATCTCTGATGATAACCAAGAAGAAGGCCCCTCCATGATATTTCCCCATCAGTGCCTGTATCTCTGATGATAACCAAGAAGAAGGCCCCTCCATGATATTTCCCCATCAGTGCCTGTATCTCTGATGATAACCAAGAAGAAGGCCCCTCCATGATATTTCCCCATCAGTGCCTGTATCTCTGATGATAACCAAGAAGAAGGCCCCTCCATGATATTTCCCCATCAGTGCCTGTATCTCTGATGATAACCAAGAAGAAGGCCCCTCCATGATATTTCCCCATCAGTGCCTGTATCTCTGATGATAACCAAGAAGAAGGCCCCTCCATGATATTTCCCCATCAGTGCCTGTATCTCTGATGATAACCAAGAAGAAGGCCCCTCCATGATATTTCCCCATCAGTGCCTGTATCTCTGATGATAACCAAGAAGAAGGCCCCTCCATGATATTTCCCCATCAGTGCCTGTATCTCTGATGATAACCAAGAAGAAGGCCCCTCCATGATATTTCCCCATCAGTGCCTGTATCTCTGATGATAACCAAGAAGAAGGCCCCTCCATGATATTTCCCCATCAGTGCCTGTATCTCTGATGATAACCAAGAAGAAGGCCCCTCCATGATATTTCCCCATCAGTGCCTGTATCTCTGATGATAACCAAGAAGAAGGCCCCTCCATGATATTTCCCCATCAGTGCCTGTATCTCTGATGATAACCAAGAAGAAGGCCCCTCCATGATATTTCCCCATCAGTGCCTGTATCTCTGATGATAACCAAGAAGAAGGCCCCTCCATGATATTTCCCCATCAGTGCCTGTATCTCTGATGATAACCAAAGGCCCCTCCAAGAAGGCCCCTCCATGATATTTCCCCATCAGTGCCTGTATCTCTGATGATAACCAAGAAGAAGGCCCCTCCATGATATTTCCCCATCAGTGCCTGTATCTCTGATGATAACCAAGAAGAAGGCCCCTCCATGATATTTCCCCATCAGTGCCTGTATCTCTGATGATAACCAAGAAGAAGGCCCCTCCATGATATTTCCCCATCAGTGCCTGTATCTCTGATGATAACCAAGAAGAAGGCCCCTCCATGATATTTCCCCATCAGTGCCTGTATCTCTGATGATAACCAAGAAGAAGGCCCCTCCATGATAATCAGTGCCTGTATCTCTGATGATAACCAAGAAGAAGGCCCCTCCATGATATTTCCCCATCAGTGCCTGTATCTCTGATGATAACCAAGAAGAAGGCCCCTCCATGATATTTCCCCATCAGTGCCTGTATCTCTGATGATAACCAAGAAGAAGGCCCCTCCATGATATTTCCCCATCAGTGCCTGTATCTCTGATGATAACCAAGAAGAAGGCCCCTCCATGATATTTCCCCATCAGTGCCTGTATCTCTGATGATAACCAAGAAGAAGGCCCCTCCATGATATTTCCCCATCAGTGCCTGTATCTCTGATGATAACCAAGAAGAAGGCCCCTCCATGATATTTCCCCATCAGTGCCTGTATCTCTGATGATAACCAAGAAGAAGGCCCCTCCATGATATTTCCCCATCAGTGCCTGTATCTCTGATGATAACCAAGAAGGCCCCTCCATGATATTTCCCCATCAGTGCCTGTATCTCTGATGATAACCAAGAAGGCCCCTCCATGATATTTCCCCATCAGTGCCTGTATCTCTGATGATAACCAAGAAGAAGGCCCCTCCATGATATTTCCCCATCAGTGCCTGTATCTCTGATGATAACCAAGAAGAAGGCCCCTCCATGATATTTCCCCATCAGTGCCTGTATCTCTGATGATAACCAAGAAGAAGGCCCCTCCATGATATTTCCCCATCAGTGCCTGTATCTCTGATGATAACCAAGAAGAAGGCCCCTCCATGATATTTCCCCATCAGTGCCTGTATCTCTGATGATAACCAAGAAGAAGGCCCCTCCATGATATTTCCCCATCAGTGCCTGTATCTCTGATGATAACCAAGAAGAAGGCCCCTCCATGATATTTCCCCATCAGTGCCTGTATCTCTGATGATAACCAAGAAGAAGGCCCCTCCATGATATTTCCCCATCAGTGCCTGTATCTCTGATGATAACCAAGAAGAAGGCCCCTCCATGATATTTCCCCATCAGTGCCTGTATCTCTGATGATAACCAAGAAGAAGGCCCCTCCATGATATTTCCCCATCAGTGCCTGTATCTCTGATGATAACCAAGAAGAAGGCCCCTCCATGATATTTCCCCATCAGTGCCTGTATCTCTGATGATAACCAAGAAGGCCCCTCCATGATATTTCCCCATCAGTGCCTGTATCTCTGATGATAACCAAGAAGAAGGCCCCTCCATGATATTTCCCCATCAGTGCCTGTATCTCTGATGATAACCAAGAAGAAGGCCCCTCCAAGATATTTCCGCAGCAGGGCCTGTATCTCTGATGATAACGAAGAAGAAGGCCCCTCCATGAGGCCCCTCTCAGTGCCTGTATCTCTGATGATAACCAAGAAGAAGGCCCCTCCATGATCTTTCCCCATCAGTGCCTGTATCTCTGATGATAACCAAGAAGAAGGCCCCTCCATGATATTTCCCCATCAGTGCCTGTATCTCTGATGATAACCAAGAAGAAGGCCCCTCCATGATATTTCCCCATCAGTGCCTGTATCTCTGATGATAACCAAGAAGAGGGCCCCTCCCTGGCAGGATTTCCAGAGATATGTCCTTATTAGTGCCTGTATTTCTGAGGACTTACCAAGAAGAAGGCTCCCCTGTGGTAGTATTTCTGCAGGTATTTATATTTGCCCTTGGGAGCCTTGTTTGTAACAATTTTGCCGTTCTGCTTGATCTCTGCACGACGTTCTTCTTCTGTCATATTTCTGAGTCGTTCAACTTCTAGTTTCTCTTTTTCTGCCCTGTCAGTAGAAAATGTTCACAGCTCAGATTTTATCGTATCAAATATTTAGGAAGAAAAACTCAATAGGAATGTCTTTGTTCAAAGATCTTGATGGCATAAACCATAGATTTTATGAGTTCATTTTTTAAGAGAGAGCAAAATGATCTGTCTCTATCTGTAAGTAATTTGTAATATAATGATAAAGAAAACTTCCTGGCAATAGGAGAGTGAGCAGTGCTCCAGCTAGATAGTGATACAAAGCCATCAGGCTAATACACTAACTGCTGGTCCTAAGCCATCAAGCTAATACACTAACTGCTGGTCCTAAGCCATCAAGCTAATACACTAACTGCTGGTCCTAAGCTACTAAGCTTTTACACTAACTGCTGGTCCTAAGCCATCAAGCTAATACATTAACTGCTGGTCCTAAGTCATCAAGCTATTACACTAACTGCTGGTCCAAAGCCACTAAGCTTTTACACTTAACTGCTGGTCCTAAGCCATCAAGCTAATACACTAACTGCTGGTCCTAAGCCATCAAGCTAATACACTAACTGCTGGTCCTAAGCCATCAAGCTAATACACTAACTGCTGGTCCTAAGCTACTAAGCTTTTACACTAACTGCTGGTCCTAAGCAATCAAGCTAATATATTAACTGCTGGTCCTAAGCCATCAAGCTATTATGCTAACTGTTGGTCCTAAGCTACTAAGCTTTTACACTAACTGCTGGTCCAAAGCCATCAAGCTAATACACTAACTGCTGGTCCTAAGCCATCAAGCTAATACACTAACTGCTGGTCCTAAGCTACTAAGCTTTTACACTAACTGCTGGTCCTAAGCCATCAAGCTAATACATTAACTGCTGGTCCTAAGCCATCAAGCTATTACACTAACTGTTGGTCCTAAGCCATCAAGCTAATACACTAACTGCTGGTCCTAAGCCATCAAGCTAATACACTAACTGCTGGTCCTAAGCTACTAAGCTTTTACACTAACTGCTGGTCCTAAGCCATCAAGCTAATACATTAACTGCTGGTCCTAAGTCATCAAGCTATTACACTAACTGCTGGTCCAAAGCCACTAAGCTTTTACACTTAACTGCTGGTCCTAAGCCATCAAGCTAATACACTAACTGCTGGTCCTAAGCCATCAAGCTAATACACTAACTGCTGGTCCTAAGCCATCAAGCTAATACACTAACTGCTGGTCCTAAGCTACTAAGCTTTTACACTAACTGCTGGTCCTAAGCCATCAAGCTAATACATTAACTGCTGGTCCTAAGCCATCAAGCTATTACACTAACTGTTGGTCCAAAGCTACTAAGCTTTTACACTAACTGCTGGTCCTAAGCCATCAAGCTAATATATTAACTGTTGGTCCTAAGTCATCAAGCTAATACACTAACTGCTGGTCCAAAGCCACTAAGCTTTTACACTTAACTGCTGGTCCTAAGCCATCAAGCTAATACACTAACTGCTGGTCCTAAGCCATCAAGCTAATACACTAACTGCTGGTCCTAAGCCATCAAGCTAATACACTAACTGCTGGTCCTAAGCCATCAAGCTAATATATGAACTGCTGGTCCTAAGCCATCAAGCTAATATATTAACTGCTGGTCCTAAGCCATCAAGCTATTACACTAACTGCTGGTCCTAAGCCATCAAGCTAATACACTAACTGCTGGTCCTAAGCCATCAAGCTATTACACTAACTGCTGGTCCTAAGCCATCAAGCTAATACACTAACTGCTGGTCCTAAGCCATCAAGCTAATACACTAACTGCTGGTCCTAAGCTACTAAGCTTTTACACTAACTGCTGGTCCTAAGCCATCAAGCTAATATATTAACTGCTGGTCCTAAGCCATCAAGCTAATACACTAACTGCTGGTCAAAAGCCACTAAGCTTTTACACTTAACTGCTGGTCCTAAGCCATCAAGCTAATATTTTAACTGCTGGTCCTAAGCCATCAAGCTAATACACTAACTGCTGGTCCTAAGCCATCAAGCTAATACACTAACTGCTGGTCCTAAGCCACTAAGCTTTTACACTAACTGCTGGTCCTAAGCCATCAAGCTAATACACTAACTGCTGGTCCTTAGCCACTAAGCCAGTACATTAACTGCTGGTCCTAAGTCACTAAGCTAATACACTAACTGCTGGTCCTAAGTCACTAAGCTAATATATTAACTGCTGGTCCTACATCATCAAGCCAATACACTAACTGCTGGTCCTAAGCCACTAAGCTATTACACTTACTGCTGGTCCTAAGCCATCAAGCTAATACACTAAATGCCGGTCCTTAGCCACTAAGCCAGTACATTAACTGCTGGTCCTAAGTCACTAAGCTAATACACTAACTGCTGGTCCTAAGCCATCAAGCTAATACACTAACTGCTGGTCCTAAGCCATCAAGCTAATACACTAACTGCTGGTCCTAAGCCATCAAGCTAATATATTAACTGCTGGTCCTAAGCCATCAAGCTAATACACTAACTGCTGGTCCTAAGCCATCAAGCTGGTCCTAAGCCATCAAGCTAAGCCATCAAGCTAATACACTAACTGCTGGTCCTAAGCCATCAAGCCAATATATTAACTGCTGGTCCTAAGCCATCAAGCTAATACACTAACTGCTGGTCAAAAGCCACTAAGCTTTTACACTTATATTAACTGCTGGTCCTAAGCCATCAAGCTAATACACTAACTGCTGGTCCTAAGCCATCAAGCCAATATATTAACTGCTGGTCCTAAGCCATCAAGCTAATACACTAACTGCTGGTCCTAAGCCACTAAGCCAGTACATTAACTGCTGGTCCTAAGTCACTAAGCTAATACCTAACTACTGGTCCTAAGTCACTAAGCTAATATATTAACTGCTGGTCCTAAGCCATCAAGCTATTACACTAACTGTTGGTCCTAAGCCATCAAGCTAATAGCTACAACTAACTGCTGGTCCTAAGCCATCAAGCCAATACACTAACTGCTGGTCCTTAGCCAATAAGCCAGTACATTAACTGCTGGTCCTAAGTCACTAAGCTAATACCTAACTACTGGTCCTAAGTCACTAAGCTAATATATTAACTGCTGGTCCTTCACCATCAAGATAATACACTAACTGCTGGTCCTAAGTCAAAAAGCTAATACACTAATTGCTGGTCCTAAGCCATCAAGCTAATACACTAACTGCTATTCCTTAGCCACTAAGCTTTTACACTAACTGCTGGTCCTAAGCCATCAAGCTAATACACTTACTGCTGGTCCTAAGCCATCAAGCTAATACCCTAACTGCTGGTCCTTAGCCATCAAGCTAATACATTAACTGCTGGTCCTAAGCCATCAAGCTACACTAACTGCTGGTCACTAACTGCTGGTCCTAAGCCATCAAGCTAATACACTAACTGCTGGTCCTAAGCTACTAAGCCAAGCCAATACACTAACTGCTGGTCCTAAGCCATCTAATACACTAACTGCTGGTAGCCACTGCTAATACACTAACTGCTGGTCCTAAGCCATCAAGCTGGACCTAAGCCATCAAGCATACACATTACCTGCTGGTCCTAAACCACTTAGCTAATAACTAACTGCTGGTCCGAAGCCACTAAGCCAATATCTTACTGCTAGATCTAAGCCACAAAGCCAGTACATTATCTGCTGGTCCTAAGCCATCAAGCTAATACACTAACTGCTGGTCCTTAGCCACTAAGCCAGTACATTAACCGCTGCTCCTGAGCCATCAAACTAATACACTAACTGCTGGTCCTAAGCCACTAAGCCAATAACTAACTGCTGGTCCTAAGCCACTAAGCTAATACACTAACTGCTGGTCCTAAGCCACTAAGCCAGTACATTATCTGCTGATCCTAAGCCATCAAGCTAATACACTAACTGCTGGTCCTTAGCCACTAAGCCAGTACATTAACTGCTGCTCCTGAGCCATCAAGCTAATACATGCTGGTCCTAACTGCTGGTCATAAAGCCAGTTCATTATCTGCTGGTCCTAAGCCATCAAGCTAATACACTAACTGCTTGTCCTTAGCCACTAAGCCAGTACATTAACTGCTGCTCCTGAGCCATCAAGCTAATACACTAAATGCTGGTCCTTAGCCACTAAGCCAGTACATTAACTGCTGGTCCAAAGTCACTCAGCTAATACACTAACTGCTGGTCCTAAGCCACTAAGCCAGTACATTAACTGCTGGTCCTAAGCCACTAAGCTAATACACTAACTGCTGGTCCTAAGCCATCAAGCTAATACACTAACTGCTGGTCCTAAGCCATCAAGCTAATATATTAACTGCTGGTCCTAAGCCATAAAGCTATTACACTAACTGCTGGTCCTAAGCCACTAAGCTAATACACTTACTGCTGGTCCTAAGCCACTAAGCTAATACACTAACTGCTGGTCCTAAGCCATCAAGCTAATACACTAACTGCTGGTCCTAAGCCACTTACTTTTAACACTACCTGCTGGTCCTAAGCCATCAAGATAATACACTAACTGCTGATACAAAGCCACACTATCTCACATAGTAGCAAACTAACACACACACATCAAAATAATTTAACTCCGTGTGAGAAATTCAGTAACACCTGACTATGCTATTATCATTTTAAAACTTACGCTTCTCGCTCTTCTTTGTCCCGTTTCAGTCTCCGTAACTCTCTTACTTTCCAGGCCTCATACTCCTCTTCATCATCATCACCAGAGTCAAGTGCATCACAGGCATCAAGTGTTCCCTTCTCTTCCTCCATCTCACGACGATTGTCATCAGCAATCATCTGTCATCATGCAAAATCCGGGCCATACATAGTGACCTTTTACAAAGCACATCTTTATCAACAAATTCTAGGTCATACATAGTGAGCTTTTACAAAACGTATCTATATCAACAAATTCTTCATCATACCTACACAACTGGAAGGAATGGTTAAATTCTGATTTCAAACAAAAATGACCTATATCAAGTTTATTTTAAAACATGACCTCATTCTCTGAGAGGGAAAGTAAATCAGTGAAGAGAGCAGCTAAAGTGATGACACAGTATAATAGATTGACAGTCATTTATACATAAGCATACATAAGTTTATTCACCCTATATGACAAACTGACAGAATGGATAATTACTCTTCAGCAGCTCAAGCTACTAGTACCATCACTGGATTCCAGCTGTGACACACAGAGCAGAAAAAAACATTAATAATTTCTTTTGAGTTAAGAATTCTCAAGACTGTTTCCTTCACCTTACAATGAGACCTTGTTTCCTTCATCTTACATTGAGACCTTGTTTCCTTCAACTTACATTGAGAGCTTGTTTCCTTCAACTTACATTGAGAGCTTGTTTCCTTCAACTTACATTGAGAGCTTGTTTCCTTCACCTTACATTGAGAGCTTGTTTCCTTCACCTTACATTGAGACCTTGTTTCCTTCAACTTACATTGAGAGCTTGTTTCCTACACCTTACATTGAGAGCTTGTTTCCTACACCTTACATTGAGAGCTTGTTTCCTTCAACTTACATTGAGAGCTTGTTTCCTTCACCTTACATTGAGAGCTTGTTTCCTTCATCTTACATTGAGACCTTGTTTCCTTCATCTTACATTGAGAGCTTGTTTCCTACACCTTACATTGAGACCTTGTTTCCTTCATCTTACATTGAGAGCTTGTTTCCTTCAACTTACATTGAGAGCTTGTTTCCTTCACCTTACATTGAGACCTTGTTTCCTTCAACTTACATTGAGAGCTTGTTTCCTACACCTTACATTGAGAGCTTGTTTCCTACACCTTACATTGAGAGCTTGTTTCCTACATCTTACATTGAGAGCTTGTTTCCTACACCTTACATTGAGAGCTTGTTTCCTTCATCTTACATTGAGACCTTGTTTCCTTCAACTTACATTGAGAGCTTGTTTCCTTCAACTTACATTGAGAGCTTGTTTCCTTCACCTTACATTGAGAGCTTGTTTCCTTCACCTTACATTGAGGCCTTGTTTCCTTCATGTTACATTGAGACCTTGTTTCCTTCAACTTACATTGAGAGCTTGTTTCCTTCACCTTACATTGAGAGCTTGTTTCCTTCACCTTACATTGAGGCCTTGTTTCCTTCAACTTACATTGAGAGCTTGTTTCCTACACCTTACATTGAGAGCTTGTTTCCTACACCTTACATAAAGACCTTGTTTCCTACACCTTACATTAAGAGCTTGTTTCCTTCACCTTACATTGAGAGCTTGTTTCCTTCATCTTACATTGAGACCTTGTTTCCTTCATCTTACATTGAGACCTTGTTTCCTTCAACTTACATTGAGAACTTGTTTCCTTTGCCTCACATTGAGAGCTTGTTTCCTACACCTTACATTGAGAGCTTGATTCTTTCACCTTACACAGAGAGCTTGTTTCCTTCACCTTACATTGAGACCTTGTTTCCTTCATCTTACATTGAGACCTTGTATACTTCATCTTACATTGAGACCTTGTTTCCTTTGCCTCACGTTGAGAGCTTGTTTCCTACACCTTACATTGAGAGCTTGATTCCTTCACCTTACACAGAGGGCTTGTTTCCTTCACCTTACATTGAGACCTTGTTTCCTACACCTTACATTGAGAGCTTGATTCCTTCACCTTACACAGAGAGCTTGTTTCCTTCACCTTACATTGAGACCCTGTTTTTCTTCACCTTACATTGTGAGCCCCTTTCCTTCACCTTACATTGTGAGCCCCATTCCTTCACCTTACATTGTGAGCCCTTTTCCTTCACCTTACATTGAGACCTTGTTTTTCTTCACCTTACATTGTGAGCCCCTTTCCTTCATCTTACATTGTGAGCCCCTTTCCTTCACCTTACATAGTGAGCCCCTTTCCTTCACTTTACATTGTGAGCCCCTTTCCTTCATCTTACATTGTGAGCCCAATTCCTTCACCTTACATTGTGAGCCCCTTTCCTTCATCTTACATTGTGAGCCCCATTCCTTCACCTTACATTGTGAGCCCCTTTCCATCACCTTACATTGAGACCTTGTTTTTCTTCACCTTACATTGTGAGCCCCTTTCCTTCACCTTACATTGTGAGCCCTGTTCCTTTACCTTACCTTAAGAGCCTGTTTGCGCCTCTCCTCTGCTAGACGCTTTGTCTCCGATTCCAAATCCTTCTTCTTGGCTTCCTCTTTTTCTTTCTCTAAAGTTGTGATTCGGTCTTTTCTATGAAGAGAAAGAATATCTTCACTAGATGTACTATCCTACTTATTGTATATTAAAAAAAAAACATAAAAATTAATTTTCACACATCCTAGGATTTTGAATTTTACACACTGGGACCTACTGAAAGATAAACACTGGTTTCAGTCTGGGACCTACTGAAAGATAAGCACTGGTTTCAGACTGGGACCTACTGAAATATAAACACTGGTTTCAGTCTGAGACCTACTTAAAGATAAACACTGGTTTCAGTCTGGGACCTACTGAAATATAAATACTGGTTTCAGTCTGGGACCTACTGAAATATAAACACTGGTTTCAGTCTGGGACCTACTGAAATATAAACACTGGTTTCAGTCTGGGACCTACTTCTTCAAGATAAACACTGGTTTCAGTCTGGGACCTACTTAAAGATAAACACTGGTTTCAGTCTGGGACCTACTTAAAGATAAACACTGGTTTCAGTCTGGGACCTACTTAAAGATAAACACTGGTTTCAGTCTGGGACCTACTTAAAAATAAACACTGGTTTCAGTCTGGGACCTACTTAAAGATAAACACTGGTTTCAGTCTGGGACCAGTCTCCTCCTCAGAGTCAGTGTAATCCTCCTCCTCAGACGACTCCTCTTCGCTATCTCCATCCATTTTCTCATCCTCCACATCCATGACTTCCTGTTAATCAAACCAAGCAATAATAAGAATTAAGTTTATCTGTTGCAAAGTATAACGCAACCATCACTTTTCACAGTCAGGTTTCAAAATATTGATGTGGGTTGAAAGGAATATTTCTGAAATTATATTTCACAAAACTGGAAAATGAATTAACTGTCGAATGTTAGTAGTGGTGTTCCGATAGTCGAAAAAAGTCAAAAATTGCTCGACTACAACCAAAAATCAAGCGCTCGACTAAGTTTTTGTCAGCTTGATTAATCAAATGGACGGGGACGTACCAAACCAATGTAGTGTATCGGGCCTAGTGTATCAGTACTAGAAGCAACCAGTAGGTGGCATACCTTTCGTAGTTTTCAATCAGTATTTATAATAAAGAACACTGATGCGAATCTACACTTGTAAATTAAAACTTAGATTTCATTTGTTTTTAGAAAAGGAAAGTATATTCATAAATCAAGAAAACTTTAGATTTTAACTTTTAAACATAAGTACGAAAATACAGCGTAAGAGCATGTTGTAAAAATGGCCGATATTGAGCTGTACCAATATCCTGGAAAAATGAAGTCAAGAGTTCTAAAAGTAGTGAGGATAGATACTATTCCCATTGATCGATTAATCGTTCTTTGTACTCCTTCCGATAATCGATTGTAAATTTCCGTTCCGATTCCCATCACTAACTGTTAGGATTTGAAAAAATTGATCTGAGGTATCCCTGATATCATGGTTGGCAATAATTCTAAGTTGATTGATTTTTTTACCTCCTCCTCCTGTCTCTGTAGTGCTCGCTGTCTCAACAGTAAACGTCGACGTTCTATCTCCTGAAAAAGTGGAAGAAAAGAAATTTCAACTTATTAATATAAGTCATTCAAATTTGGAACAACAGACTAATAGTATATCTTTTTTAATTTCGACACTACTTATTTACATAACTAGATTACAAATTTATAAAAATCATTATATGATGATTATAACTTCTTTGAAACATTCTTGTATAAGGTCACATGTTTTTTTAGATATTCTGTGATATAAAATGAAAGAAAAAGTCAAATCCCTGATTTAATGTTCTGTTGAGTTGTTAAATTGTTTGACATCTTCATGTTTTATTCTAAATGAAAGACAAAAAAGACTGACCTCTTCATCTAATTCTTCCTCTTCTTCTTCACTGCTCTCCTCCTCTTCTTCACCCCTTCTCTTCCTGCCTTCCACCTCTGAGTCTGAACCCTCCTGTATAAGCTCAGGTTCCTCCACTTCCCGTCGATGTCTGGCAACTCTATAACAGTTCACCAAAAAAACATCCTTAATTTGGAATTTTGTGAAGATGGAGGAAAGAAGCATCATAAAAGTTATCTATCTGATCATCCTTTAGTTGAAATACAGTGAACTCAGATGTTAACACCAGTTTGTCATTAACTTGATGTGAATGAATTTTAATACTGCAATTATTGACAGAAAATATCATTGTTTCTTTTTCATGTAGATTTAACACAAAGGACACAAAAGTGAGAGTTTTTCATTCCGTGTTCTCTGTTTGGTCATTAATCATAAGTCAAAGAAACACTTCTATTTCGAAAAAAAAACAAAGAACAAACAAACATTGTTTATCCACAATAGAAAATATTTCAATGAATACCAATGCATATTGGAATTTGTACTTGTCAATAAACAGTAACACACCTGTCATCCTCGTCTTTTTCAATGTCACGCCCCTGTAATCGTTGAAGACGACGATCATATACAGTTTCTGTTCCTTCATCTTTTTCCGCCACTGATGGGGCTTCCTGCTCCGTTTTAACAGGGACAAACTCATCTTCACTTTCATCACTGCTGCTATCAGGTGCATAGTCAGGTCTAAAAACCAAAACATAGATTTGTTGTGAGAAAAACATAACTCATGTGACTTTTTATTGAAAAGATATTTTACATACCCATCACATTGTTAGCAAACAAAGAAAACTATTTTTGCAGTAAGCAGTAGATATGACCCGACAACATCTGTCGGAAGGTTCAGCAGGGTTTATTTTTGCTGTTAACTTTATTGTTTTCTGCCAAATGTTGGATTTCATTTTCTTTGTATTTCTGCTATTATTCAGGGATGTATTATATAGAGAGAAAGAAACTTGGACAAGTGGAGACTTCTGTGCATTTAGTTTTGTTAACTAACCTTACAAGCTGTATTTACCTGACATACCTATATCAAATTTATTTCTACACTGTAGTTAGTGTAAACTTTTGCATTGTCCAACCTGACTAGTGCCATTTTGTTGGCCAGTGAGGAGTGAATTTAAATTTCATAGTAAACATAATACTAATAAATTGAAATGACATACAGTGAAAATAGTATGATTTTAATGAAAAATAAGCAAGTTTTTTAGTGCCATCGATTTTTAAAAATTATTTTCTTCATATATCTGACTAATATTGGTATACAACATAGGGTGGTATTTCAGTTGTAAATAGGTTAAATATTAGTTAACAAAAAATACTCATCACTAAAGTAGGCATATTCAATTAGAAAATTATTAAGCTTTCTACTACTTTAGAAAACAATGGTGATGTACTTTTGGAGAAAATGGGTAAAAACACAGCAAGGCCAGTTAACAGAAATTTCATCACAGTAGCTCTAGAAAGATACACTGTATAGAGACAGTATAATACCTATCCCTATATTATATGTACATATATCATAACATAAGACATATTTTGCGAAATGAAGACAGTATTACTAACAGGGATATTTTGTTGACATACAAAACTTTTCAATAAATCATTATGCCAGAAATTGTTTACTTGTGTCTCAAAGTATCCCACAGAACTGAGAGAACAGAGAACAAGTGAAGCTTTAAATATCTACATAACAAAAAATTTTATATTCAAATATATATTCAATATATTCAATCACATGTAACATATATACTACTCACCTTTTACCAGTTACATAGCGACTGACTTTTACTTTTTGCATAGTAAGATCACCTGCGAAAATAAAGCAACATTTCAAAAATGATTCTGTTGATGAAATATAACATATATTTAGGTGAACAGACTCATACAGCTCATATAAACTTTGCTGATTGTAATCATAGTTTAAACATTTAATAGTATAGTATAGTAGTGTTTCCGGTACAGGAACACAGTGTTCCTCTTCACTAGACTCAAAATCTTATTGTCGTGGTTAAAGTTCATTTTCCGGTTAGTTTCCAGTAGCTCTATAATTATATACAATATCTTGTTTTTTCCAAAACTTATCCAGTTTGTTTTTAAAAGTATTTGTATTTGGAGCAGATACAATGTCTTCTGTAAGATTATTCCATGTTATCACAGTTCTTATAGCAAAGCTATTTCCTCTTCTATTGGTCCTGTGTTGTTGAAGAAACAGTGTTTTAGAGTGTCCTCGACCACTTCTTATTCCTACGTCCATCTTAAGCTTCACAAAATTGCATGAATCCTTATCATATATACCATATTTAAACAAAACTTTTAATCATTGATCACATTAAACCCAGTCGACAAGGAATCATCTTGCAGCTACTTTCTGAATATTTGATAATCAAAATAGTTCTAAGGGATCACGATACAGTACCTTTCTCATTTTTCATCGGGATAGCACCCGCAGTGGACTGGATCGGCGCATTTGTGGGAGCCGACATCTTGCCTTCCGAATACGCGTTCTGAAAGGAACTGACAAACAAGGAAGAAGGTTTTAAGTTCACATGAGACGACACTTTTTCTCACAGAAAACACCGTCGTTGTAGCATCAGGATGAAGCAACCATCTGCGAAATCGACGTAGATTTTCGTTAATGGCTGGTAACGTACACGGCCGTCTATTGAAAGCGTCTTGCAGACGTGAGCAAACTCATCAGTGACGCGTTAGTTTCGTAAAAATGGAGACTTGCCATTTTGTGGTAAGAACTGTCCTACTCCCAATTAACCAGTATAAGCCTGAAAGCAAACTGCGTTGTTTTGTGTAACCTAAAACATTGGATGACAGAATTAGGCCGCCATCACCATTGAACACACTTCCTAGTATCTGGCATATTTAATGTAAAACTTTTTTCTCTCTTGATTTTGCATAGTGTGAATGTGAAGTTTCATTAAAATTTATGAACTAACTTGATTGTTGATCTACATCAATACATTTCGTTAGAACAGAGACGTATTTAATGTTCATTCATTCATTCATTCATTCATTCATTCATTCATTCATTCATTCATTCATTCATTCATTCATTTGTTTCTTTATCTTGTCTTGTTGTTGTCGTTGTTTGTGTTATTCATAAGTAAAACAATACAAACAAAATTTTTAAAAAAATAGGTACTTCCTTATGGCTGTATCCCGATTTGCCCACTATTTAAAAAAAAACATGGACAGTAGAATGTTGTGATAAGGATTATAGTCTATTTGGTAATAATTTACCTGTGTTTACCTGTGTTTTTACCTGTATTTTACCTATGGTCACCTGTGCCATCTAGCCTATTAAATGATAGCTGTTTTATTGAGTTTTTAAAAATATATAAAATAAAAAAAAGCATTGCATTTTATTTCTTTATGTTGATATATATGTCACTGAAAATTTTAACAAATTAAAGACTTTTTTCATAAATATATAAATTTCATTTATTTGAATTCATTATCATTTACTAGAGGAGGTTAAAGTACACTAAAATATTACATTATATCAGAATTAAAGTTTTACATTTTTGATAAATTTGTCTGACTTGAATAAACATTAAGTATATATTAAGGACGCCATATTAAGTAAATTGATAACGATGATGAAATATTTTAGGATATTAATCATTATGTATAATTAAACAAAATATCCATTGGTATTAATTGTATTCATGATTTTTTTATTATACCTATACAAATTATTTTATGTTTTTTAAATGTAAGTATACTTATATCGTTTAATTACCCAAGCCATCGACCTCAAATACAAACAATTATAAGATGATCTCAGAGGTGGTGATGATAGTGCTGTCACCAGATAGTGAACACTGTATCCTCTTTTTTACAAACTCCTACCCGGTAAGACCCAGCAGCTTCAGCAACTTTTCAGGGAGAACGACGGCATCAAAAGACTAGCTCGCCTGGCTGCCGTGCTGCCTTTGGTACCACTGGAAAGAGTTGAGGATGTTTGGTTCAACGCGCTGAAGGAACTGGAAGATGTGGACTTACCCGTGGGCACTACGCCCTTTACAGACTATGTCGTTACACAGTGGATTGAGGGAGACCGCCGTATCTGAAACCACTTCACCACAGAGAGACCTAGCACCACCAACCATCTAGAAGCCTGGCATGGGAATCTGAAGAAGAAGGTACACCACTTACACCCCAACATATACACCATCATCAAAGTGTTCCAGGAGATTCAAGCCGCCAACGAAATCAACAGGATACAGTGTGATACAGGAGGAGCAACAAGACTACGTGCGAAGAGATATCGATAAACGATAAACTGTACTAATTACTTCAGGTGCTCGTCACGTTCTCCAAGGAGAACAAGGTATACAACACCGGAACCAACAGGCAAACCAACAAGCATCAAACACGTGCATCTTTATATTACACAAAGAAATAGAATATTTCTCAATGAGATCGCTATGGCGACCATAAAACTTCCCCATAATTTTCATCAACTTGCATCTTTTGAACCCCTGTGTTACGAATTTGACCGTCAGTGTTTACAAGCGGCATTTACGTGACTGGTGGTAGATAACACAATTTGATGGCTGCTAATGCACTTATGATGCCAAAATTGGTATTTTGTTTTTCATCAACTGACAGACTATGTTAGATATTGCATCACAGTGTTTAGTGTATTAGAAAATGCAAAACTTTCTACGTTACAATACATGGTTACTAAATTAATGCTGCAATTCTTAATCATTCTTAACCTATCAATTTTCCTCTTTAATGTTTCGAAAGATTTTGACATATATTAGATAGAAATGAATCCGTGATATGTTTCCTATTCAATATTTTCGAATACAGTTGTTTATACATAAATGGGTTGGTAGCGTCATCATGCTGTTTACTATCAGCAACTTCTTTATTCCTAGCCAATTACATAAACTCTCAAACATATTGCTTTGTTCCGCGAGAAAAAAATAGACACTACAATTATTATTAACATTTTTGGCAGTATCTGTATATTGGATTGGTTGAAAGCAATGAAGTCTGTGTTCAGAAAAGCTACGCATTAACACTAAATATTACATACCAGTAAGTGTCAGGTGCTAGGGAAAGTGAAGGTGCACACATTCACAAGTTATAGCTTTTTAAGTACAAATAGAAGTAATTTTAGCATGTTGCACGTTTTAATAGTTTCAAAATTACCCATAAACTGACATAAACAAACAGGTAAGGGCGCCGAGTGGTGGGAAATGCTTCAAGCTTGAGAGAGTTCCTTATTTGTTCAGTGATGTGGAAAAAATAGAAACGGGTTGAATCATTTTGTTGACGAGAGAGGGAAGTGAGTCAAGATTTGACAACTTTACACCTGGGACATTTGTTAGACGCGCGGTGTGTGATAATTATGTGAAAATTTGTGTACCTTACATGGATTACGGAACCGTTAATGTGTGATGTAGATGTATGAACAAAATATCTATATCGTAACTAAATTCTCATCAGAAAACCGATTGTGCAATACAAGGATGTATACATTCTGTAAAAGAGTAAGTTTTTGCGGTTGACTGTTTTTCACAGAGATTGTTAAAGCAGTGAAAATAATCCATTAGGTTTATTGTTTCATAACATTGAAACTGAGTATAGATTTATTATTAAACATGTATATTTCTATGTTGAAATAATACCTATCATTCTTCAGCATATTAGAGAATTTTTATCTATATTGAAAAAGGAAAAAAATGAGTTATGAAAGTCTATCAGGCGTTTTTTTATGACAAAACGACATTTTGAAACAGGCGTTTTTATAGCGAGGCTCTGCGGGGGTACAAATGAACAAAACGACATTTTGAAACAGGCGCTTTTATAGCGAGGCTCTGCGGGGGTACAAATGAACAAAACGACATTTTGAAACAGGCGCTTTTATAGCGAGGCTCTGCGGGGGTACAAATGAACAAAACGACATTTTGAAACAAGAATTACAGATATAGCTTATACACAATAAAACAGCTCGAGTTGGTTGAGTTTACATGGGTTGATCCCCGAAATAAATTATGAAGATAACTTTATCGCTCTTTCATTTACTATTACTTTTTTTGAAGACGACTGTTAAGGCGATTGTAGAGTAAAAAAACAACAACAAACAAACGGTCAGCGAACCAGCTTGGTTAAGATTTCACACCATTTTTAAATGATATCGACAGAGAAATTTTTGACTATGTTTACCTTTTTACCTATATATATCCTGGTGGTTAATATATTGACATACACAATCCTATCTACTGAACCATTTGTATTTCCCAGGCTATCGCCTCACCTGCATACCGTAAAACGAATGAGTGACATCACGTCACACCTGACAGACTAGCACTAACAACTGAGTACAGTAAGGATTACACTATTGCTACATAGGTATGACCATGAAAGAAATACCATATAATACATGTGATGAAGACGATGAAGGTAAGTATAATTTCTGTAAACACAAATATTTCATTTCTTTATTGATATATAATCCATAGATATTTATACCTATCTTTATTTAGTGACGATTCGTTCGGTATTCGTTACTGATTTCAGTCAAATGGAAACACCCCAGGTAAGGCCCTACAGAATTAGGTCATTCTATTCAATACATGAACAAAATAACTTGGATAAAAAGGGGCACGATACCGAAAAGATAGTGATAAATACCTACATCTCATCATACCGTCACATCAGCTTTTATTTTCATGGTATGATAAAAATATTGGTTATGTTTAGCAAATAGGATACACAAGTTTCATGCATGGTATTTAACAACTAAAGTAAATAAGTCTCGTTCATGGTATCATCAATTAACTGTATGTGTTATGTGGAGCGACTGTGGTTAATAAGTCTCGTTCATGGTATCATAAGTTAAATGTATGTGTTATGTGGAGCGACTGTGATTAATAAGTCTCGTTCATGGTATCATAAGTTAACTGTATGTGCTATGTTTAGCGACTGGAGTGAATAAGTCTCGTTCATGGTATCATAAGTTAAATGTATGTGTTATGTGGAGCGACTGTGATGAATAAGACTCGTTCATGGTATCAAAAATTAACTGTATGTGTTATGTTTAGCGACTGGAGTGAATAAGTCTTTTTCATGGTATCATAAATTAACTGTATGTGTTATGTTTAGCGACTGGGGTGAATAAGTCTCGTTCATGGTATCATAAGTTAACTGTATGTTGTTATGTGGAGCGACTGTAGTGAATAAGTCTTTTTCATTGTATCATAAATAAACTGTATGTGTTATGTTTAGTGACTGAGGTGAATAAGTCTCCTTCATGGTATCATACGTTAACTGTATGTGTTATGTTTAGCGACTGGAGTGAATAGATTTGTTTCATGGTATCATAAGTTAACTGTATATGTTATGTTTACCGACTGGAGTGAATAGATTTGTTTCATGGTATCAAAAGTTAAATGTATGTGTTATGTTTAGCGACTTGAGTGAATAAGTCTTTTTCATTGTATGATAAATAAACTGTATGTGTTATGTTTAGTGACTGGGGTGAATAAGTCTCCTTCATGGCATCATAAGTTAACTGTATGTGTTATGTTTAGCGACTGGAGTGAATAGATTTGTTTCATGGTATCATAAGTTAACTGTATGTGTTATGTTTACCGACTGGAGTGAATAGATTTGTTTCATGGTATCATAAGTTAAATGTATGTGTTATGTTGAGCGACTGGAGTGAATAAGTCTTTTTCATTGTATCATAAATTAACTGTATGTGTTATGTTTAGCGACTGGAGTGAATAAGTCATTTTGATGGTATCATAAGTTAAATGTATGAGTTATGTGGAGCGACTGTAGTGAATAAGTCTTTTTCATTGTATCATAAATAAACTGTATGTGTTATGTGGAGCGACTGTGGTGAATAAGTCTCCTTCATGGTATCATATGTTTAACTGTATGTGTTATGTTTAGCGATTGGGGTGAATAAGTCTCCTTCATGATATCATAAATTAACTGTATGTGCTATGTTTAGCGACTGGAGTGAATAAGTCTCCTTCATGGTATCATAGGTTAACTGTATGTGCTATGTTTCGCGACTGGAGTGAATAAGTCTTGTTTTCATGGTATGTTAACTGTATGTGTTATGTTTAGCGACTGGGGTGAATAAGTCTTTTTCATGGTATCATAAGTTAACTGTATGTGCTATGTTTAGCGACTGGAGTGAATAAGTCTCGTTCATGGTATCATAAGTTAACTGTATGTGTTATGTTTAGCGACTGGAGTGAATAAGTCTCGTTCATGGTATCATAAGTTAAATGTATGTGTTATGTGGAGCGACTTTGATGAATACGACTCGTTCATGGTATCATAAATTAATTAACTGTATGTGTTATGTTTAGCGACTGTAGTGAATAAGTCCCGTTCATGGTATCATAAGTTAAATGTATGTGTCATGTTTAGCGACTGTAGTGAATAAGTCTCGTTCATGGTATCATAAGTTAAATGTATGTGTTATGTGGAGCGACTGTGGTGAATAAGTCTTTTTCATGGTATTATAAGTTAACTGTATGTGTTATGTTTAGCGACGGTGGTGAATAAGTCTTGTTCATGGTATCATTAGTTAAATGTATGTTGTTATGTTTAGCGGCTGGAGTGAATAAGTCTCGTTCATGGTATCATAAATTAAATGTATGTGTTATGTTTAGCGACTGGGGTGAACATGTCTTTTTCATGGTATCATAAATTAATTAACTGTATGTCTTATGTTTAGCGACTGGAGTGAATAAGTCTTTTTCATGGTATCATCAATTAAAATTAACTGTATGTGTTATGTTTAGCGACTGGAGTGAATAAGTCTCGTTCATGGTATCATAAGTTAACTGTATGTGTTATGTTTAGCGATTGGGGGGGAATAAGTCTCCTTCATGGTATCATAAATTAACTGTATGTCCTATGTGGAGCGACTGGAGTGAATAAGTCTCCTTCATGGTATCATAAGTTAACTGTATGTGCTATGTTTAGCGGCTGGAGTGAATAAGCCTCGTTCATGGTATCATAAATTAACTGTATGTGTTATGTTTAGCGACTGGGGTGAATAAGTCTTTTTCATGGTATCATAAGTTAACTGTATGTGTTATGTTTAGCGACTGGGGTTAATAAGTCTTTTTCATTGTATCATAAGTTAACTGTATGTGTTATGTTTAGCGACTGGAGTGAATAGATGTGTTTCATGGTATCATAAGTTAACTGTATGTGCTATGTTTAGCGACTGGAGTGAATAAGTCTCGTTCGTGGTATCATAAGTTAACTGTATGTGTTATGTTTAGCGACTGGAGTGAATAGATCTGTTTCATGGTATCATAAGTTAACTGTATGTGCTATGTTTAGTGACTGGAGTGAATAAGTCTCGTTCATGGTATCATAAGTTAAATGTATGTGTTATGTGGAGCGACTTCAGTGAATAAGTCTTTTTCATGGTATTATAAGTTAACTGTATGTGTTATGTTTAGCGACTGCAGTGAAGTTGTCTATTTCATGGTGTCATATGTTAACTGTATGTGTTATGTTTAGTGACTGGAGTGAATAAGTCTCGTTCATGGTATCATAAGTTAACTGTATGTGTTATGTTTAGCGACTGGAGTGAATAAGTCTCGTTCATGGTATCATAAGTTAACTGTATGTGCTATGTTTAGCGACTGGAGTGAATAAGTCTCGTTCATGGTATCATAAGTTAACTGTATGTGCTATGTTTAGCGGCTGGAGTGAATAAGTCTCGTTCTTGGTAGCATAAGTTAACTGTATGTGTTATGTGTTATGGAGCGACTTCAGTGAATAAGTCTTTTTCATGGTATTATAAGTTAACTGTATGTGTTATGTTTAGCGACGGTGGTGAATAAGTCTTGTTCATGCTATCATTAGTTAAATGTATGTGTTATGTGGGGCGACTGTGGTGAATAAGTCTTTTTCATGGTATGATATCATAAATTAACTGTATGTGCTATGTTTAGCGACTGGAGTGAATAAGTCTTTTTCATGGTATCATAAGTTAACTGTATGTGCTATGTTTAGCGACTGGAGTGAATAAGTCTCGGTCATGGTATCATAAGTTAACTGTATGTGCTATGTTTAGTGACTGAGGTGAATAAGTCTCCTTCATGGTATCATACGTTAACTGTATGTGTTATGTTTAGCGATTGGGGTGAATAAGTCTCCTTCATGATATCATAAATTAACTGTATGTGCTATGTTTAGCGACTGGAGTGAATAAGTCTCCTTCATGGTATCATAAATTAACTGTATGTCCTATGTGGAGCGACTGGAGTGAATAAGTCTCCTTCATGGTATCATATGTTAACTGTATGTGCTATGTTTAGCGGCTGGAGTGAATAAGTCTCGTTCATGGTATCATAAATTAACTGTATGTGTTATGTTTAGCGACTGGAGTGAATAAGTCTCGTTCATGGTATCATAAGTTAACTGTATGTGCTATGTTTAGCGACTGGAGTGAATAAGTCTCGTTCGTGGTATCATAAGTTAACTGTATGTGTTATGTTTAGCGACTGGAGTGAATAGATCTGTTTCATGGTATCATAAGTTAACTGTATGTGCTATGTTTAGCGACTGAAGTGAATAAGTTTCGTTGATGCTATCATAAGTTAACTGTATGTGTTATGTTTAGTGACTGAGGTGAATAAGTCTCCTTCATGGTATCATAAATTAACTGTATGTGTCATGTTTAGCGACTGTAGTGAATAAGTCTCGTTCATGGTATCATAAGTTAACTTTATGTGTTATGTTTAGCGACTGGAGTGAATAAGTCTTTTTCATGGTATCATACGTTAACTGTATGTGTTATGTTTAGCGACTGGAGTGAATAAGTCTAGTTCATGGTATCATAAATTAACTTTATGTGTTATGTTTAGCGACTGGAGTGAATAAGTCTTTTTCATGGTATCATACGTTAACTGTATGTGTTATGTTTAGCGATTGGGGTGAATAAGTTTCCTTCATGATATCATAAATTAACTGTATGTGCTATGTTTAGCGACTGGAGTGAATAAGTCTTTTTCATGGTATCATAAGTTAACTGTATGTGCTATGTTTAGCGACTGGAGTGAATAAGTCTCGTTCATGGTATCATAAGTTAACTGTATGTGTTATGTGGAGCGACTGTGATGAATACGACTCGTTCATGGTATCATAAATTAATTAACTGTATGTCTTATGTTTAGCGACTGGAGTGAATAAGTCTTTTTCATGGTATCATCAATTAAAATTAACTGTATGTGTTATGTTTAGTGACTGAGGTGAATAAGTCTCCTTCATGGTATCATACGTTAACTGTATGTGCTATGTTTAGCGACTGGAGTGAATAAGTCTCCTTCTTGGTATCATAGGTTAACTGTATGTGCTATGTTTCGCGACTGGAGTGAATAAGTCTTTTTCATGGTATCATAAGTTAACTGTATGTGCTATGTTTAGCGACTGGAGTGAATAAGTCTCGTTCATGGTATCATAAGTTAACTGTATGTGCTATGTTTAGCGACTGGAGTGAATAAGTCTCGTTCGTGGTATCATAAGTTAACTGTATGTGTTATGTTTAGCGACTGGAGTGAATAAGTCTCGTTCATGGTATCATAAGTTAACTGTATGTGTTATGTTTAGCGACTGGAGTGAATAAGTCTCGTTCATGGTATCATAAGTTAACTGTATGTGCTATGTTTAGCGACTGTGATGAATAAGACTCGTTCATGGTATCAAAAATTAACTGTATGTGTTATGTTTAGCGACTGGAGTGAATAAGTCTTTTTCATGGTATCATAAATTAACTGTATGTGTTATGTTTAGCGACTGGGGTGAATAAGTCTTTTTCATTGTATCATAAGTTAACTGTATGTGTTATGTTTAGCGACTGGGGTAAATAAGTCTTGTTCATGGTATCATAAGTTAACTGTATGTGCTATGTTTAGCGACTGGAGTGAATAAATCTCGTTCATGGTATCATAAGTTAACTGTATGTGTTATGTTTTGCGACTGGAGTGAATAAGTCTCGTTCATGGTATCATAAGTTAACTGTATGTGTTATGTTTAGCGATTGGGGTGAATAAGTCTACTTCATGATATCATAAATTAACTGTATGTGTCATGTTTAGCGACTGTAGTGAATAAGTCTCGTTCATGGTATCATAAGTTAAAGGTATGTGTTATGTGGAGTGACTGTGGTGAATAAGTCTTTTTCATGGTATCATAAATTAACTGTATGTGTTATGTTTAGCGACTGGAGTGAATAAGTCTTTTTCATGGTATCATAAGTTAACTGTATGTGCTATGTTTAACGACTGGAGTGAATAAGTCTCTTTCTAGGTATCATCAGTTAACTGTATGTTGTTATGTTTAGCGACTGGAGTGAATAAATCTTTTTCATGGTATCATAAGTTAACTGTATGTGTTATATTTAGCGACTGGAGTAAATAAGTCTCGTTCATGGTATTATAAGTTAACTGTATGTTGTTATGTTTAGCGACTGGAGTGAATAAGTCTTTTTCATGGTATCATAAGTTAACTGTATGTGTTATGTTTAGCGACTGGAGTGAATAGATCTTTTTCATGGTATCATAAGTTAACTGTATGTGTTATGTTTAGCGACTTGGGTGAATAAGTCTTTTTCATGGTATTATAAGTTAACTGTATGTGTTATGTTTAGCGACGGTGGTGAATAAGTCTTGTTCATGGTATCATTAGTTAAATGTATGTTGTTATGTGGAGCGACTGGGGTAAATAAGTCTCGTTCATGGTATTATAAGTTAACTGTATGTTGTTATGTTTAGCGACTTCAGTGAATAAGTCTTTTTCATTGTATCATAAATAAACTGTATGTGTTATGTTTAGTGACTGGAGTGAATAGATCTTTTTCATGGTATCATACGTTAACTGTATGTGTTATGTTTAGCGACTTGGGTGAATAAGTCTCCTCCATGGTATCATAAGTTAACTGTATGTGTTATGTTTAGCGACTGGAGTGAATAAGTCTTTTTCATTGTAGCATTAGTTAACTGTATGTTGTTATGTTTAGCAACTTGGATGAATAAGTTTCATTCTTGGTACATTGGTATTTAGCAACTGTAGTGAATAAGTCTCCTTTCGTAGCTAATGTGTTATTGATACAGTTAATCACATTACTACTTAGCTAATTAATGAATAAATTTTGTTAATACCACACGAATAATATGACCGAGCAAAACTGAAGATTCCCATTGTTTCTCAGGTTATGACGTTCTATACTTATGGCGTCATAAGCACTGTGATGTCACTGAAGGAAAGATAAATGTGAGAATAATCTTGATTGTGTACAGTGTAATCTGTTTCCTATAGAATAATATGAAATATCTAAAATACGTGATAAACAGAATCTTATACTTTTCACATTTCATATGAGATTTACGAAACTTATGTTAGATCCTTAAACAAGGAAATAATGGCGTGTCAATGGAATGTTAATTCAAACTCAAATTCATTAAGACTTGGGCAACTATTAACAAAACAAAAAATAACCCTAAGACCATTGAAAAAGTACAAGGATAATAAGACCAGGTATTACGAAAGGGTAGTCGTCTTCTGCTTCATCGACGACATCAGACATATTTTTTTGTTTGGTACAGAAAGTAATGTCAGGTTACTAAATAAGAACAAGATAAACAACTACGGAACTACCAGGCACAAACACGTACTATCATCTGTATTACCCGTGGTAATTGATTTATTGTGTTTATAGAACAATAAATGTTTCTTAATCTATTTTACATATTTTCAGACTCGCTTATTTGTGAAGAGGTCAGCTGTCATAGTTTGTTTGATATGACGTTAAGGAATTTTCAAGATAAGTTCTGCCCAGTAGAAACAGATATTCGACCCATCAAGTGTATCGATATTATAAATGCCACACTGCAACCAACAGCAAGCTGTCACATTGGACACGACTTCGGACACAATGACAGTTTCATTCACGTTCGTGAAGGCTGTGTAGCCACATTCAAGACTTGCACTGATAAAGGTAGATATGTATATAAACATTAATTCATAATATTAATATTCTTTATTTTCTGAGGATAAATACATGTTAAGCCAAAGGCTTACCTAATACATTGTCCTCTTATTAGTAAAACATACGTACAACATAAATGAGTTAGAAAAAACAACATGTATGAGAAAGAAAAATGACTGAAACAAACAAAGCCAAAACAAAAATATATATAAATATTTAATATGAAATAAACATACATACATAGTTAACTCTTAAAAAAAATAGTCATTGTAAAAAAACACAAAAAAGCAGTATCTGGGAAATTATCTGAAATTAAGGTAAATGTTTGAATAATTTTCTTTTAAAGGTAGTAAAACAGTTGGTCTCTTTGTTCATGAAAATGACGTGAATTTCGTAAACATTATCGTATAAATTACATAATTTAATAAAAGACAGGATCGACAAATGTTTTCTCGAAATCAAATGTCCGCGAAATAGGATTATTTCGAAAAACCGAGAAAATATTATTCAACAGTTCTATGTACACAAACGTAGAATGAGTCTCATTGATATACTGTAAAGGCTGGTGTTTTGGTGTTTTAAATTTCATAGATTTTACTGACTGCTCTATACGAATATTTATAAAACGGCATTGGGTCTCCAAGAATATATAAAATTATCTAAATTATCGTTCATCCTCGATGGAAGCACTCGAAAATTAAACCGATTTTTATTATTTTTTTTTTATTGTTATTTTTTTCTTTACAATCCTCCCCAGCTTTTCCAGTTGTTAAACCTTCTACAATCGGACGTCCACCTTTGTCTTCCCCGTTCCGACAACCCGAAGACGGAAATGGCGATGAAGACGCTCTGACAATAGGATTAGCTGTAGGATGTGGTCTTGTTGCCATAGTAGCGATTGTCTTGATTTTGGTATATCATCATCGGCGAAAGTAAGCTTTATATCGAATATTTATCTATATACTGATTTTTGTTCCCGATAGATGTCAGTTTGACATGTTCGTAATTTAGTTGTGCGTGTTCTTGGGCATAAGAATACCGTCCTCCCATACACAAAAAGCTTATGTCAATGAAACAAAAGCAAAATATGAACTAAAGATTTACACAGAGACCCTAGAAAAAGGACAGGTAGAATAAGACAATGTTAAAAATGGTAAGAGTCATCTGTTTCATCGAGGACATCTTCCGTATCAATCTAGGTCGATCCTGGAATCGACATACCATGTAACCACTTCGCATACAACTGTATGGGACCATGTAGTTAAATGAAGGTCAGACTTTGATTGGTCATGATTTACATGGCGGGTGTCGTCGATGAAGCAGAAACGCTTACTCTTCCAGAACACCTGGTCTTATTCTTCTTTGTGCTTTTTCAAGTCTCCGTGAAAATGTTTTGTTCATATTTTGACTTTGTTTAAATGAATTTATCTTTAAATAATGGTTATGTTGGTATTTTCGTGTTGTTTTATCGACACATAACTGCAACTTCTTAGTGACAACAGAAAGATAACACATGGGATTCCTTGCCCATTATGTAATGTTTCTCGTTTTGAAAATATATGTAAACCTATATCATATTTCTGAGATGATTTTTTTCAACTCTAACACACTCATTACTCTTTTCGGTGCAGAGTGGTCATTTGGTTTATTTCTACATTGGTTAATATTGTCAAAAATCATTAACTGTTATCAATTTTCAGTATAGTTTGCGTAGCTATATCCGGTGCACGATGGTAATCGGTGTTTGTGGCTGCACATGTCTCTTGTAATTGTTGTTTTAAATGATCATAAAGAAAAAGCCATTATGAATGCAGCAACAATTCCACCCAAACTAATTTCTATGTTTCTATCTATGTTCTTATTGTATTGGTAGTATAATATGAACGTTTCTGTATATTTCATCCTGGAATGTTTAACGTCCTTTCAGGCACAGCGATGATAAAGAAAACAAAACGGATAATAATAAAAAGGTGAGAATCAAGTTGTTTACATGTAATTCGATACTCCGGGGGTTATCATCACTTCCTCTCTCTGTATCTTCGATACCCCGGGGGTTACCATCACTTCCTCTCTCTGTATCCTCGATACTCCGGGGGTTACGATCACTTCCTCTCTCTGTATCCTCGATACTCCGGGGGTTACCATCACTTCCTCTCTCTGTATCCTCAAAACTCCAGGGGTTACCATCACTTCCTCTCTCTGTATCCTAAAAACTCCAGGGGTTACCATCACTTCCTCTCTCTGTATCCTCAAAACTCCAGGGGTTACGATCACTTTCTCTCTCTGTATCCTCGATACTCCAGGAGTTACCATCACTTCCTCTCTCTGTATCCTCGATACTCCGGGGATTACCAATCAATTCCTCTCTCTGTATCGTCAAAACTCCAGGGGTTACCATCACTTCCTCTCTCTGTATCCTCGATACTCTTGGGGTTACCATCACTTCCTCTCTCTGTATCCTCGATACTCCAGGGGTTACAATCACTTTCTCTCTCTGTATCCTCGATACTCCAGGGGTTACGATCACTTCCTCTCTCTGTATCCTCAATACTCCAGGGATTACAATCACTTTCTCTCTCTGTATCCTCGATACTCCGGGGGTTACCATCACTTCCTCTCTCTGTATCCTCAAAACTCAAGGGATTACAATCACTTCCTCTCCCTGTATCCTCAATACTCCAGGGATTACAATCACTTTCTCTCTCTGTATCCTCGATACTCCAGGGGCTACTATCACTTCCTCTCTCTGTATCCTCGATACTCCAGGGGTTACGATCACTTCCTCTCTCTGTATCCTCAAAACTCCAGGGATTACAATCACTTTCTCTCTCTGTATCCTCGATACTCCAGAGGTTACGATCACTTCCTCTCTCTGTATCCTCAAAACTCCAGGGGTTACAATCACTTTCTCTATCGGTATCCTCGATACTCCAGGGGTAACGATCACTTTCTCGCTGTATTCCTGATACTCCAGGGGTTACAATCACTTTCTCTCTGTATCCCTGATACTCCAGGGGTTACAATCACTTTCTCTCTCTGTATCCTCGATACTCCAGGGGTTACAATCACTTTCTCTCTCTGTATCCTCGATACTCCAGAGGTTACGATCACTTCCTCTCTCTGTATCCTCAAAACTCCAGGGGTTACAATCACTTTCTCTCTGTATCCCTGATACTCCAGGGGTTACAATCACTTTCTCTCTCTGTATCCTCGATACTCCAGGGGTTACAATCACTTTCTCTCTCTGCATCCTCGATACACCAGGGGTTGCGATCACTCCCTCTCTCTGTGTATCCTCGATACTCCAGGGGTTACGATCACTTCCTCTCTCTGTGTATCCTCGATACTCCAGAGGTTACGATCACTTTCTCTCTCTGTATCCTCGATACTCCGGGGGTTACAATCACTTCCTCTCTCTGTATCCTCAAAACTCAAGGGATTACAATCACTTCCTCTCTCTGTATCCTCGATACTCCGGGGGTTACTATCACTTCCTCTCTCTGTATCCTCGATACTCCAGGGGTTACGATCACTTCCTCTCTCTGTATCCTCAAAACTCAAGGGATTACAATCACTTCCTCTCTCTGTATCCTCAAAACTCCAGGGATTACAATCACTTTCTCTCTCTGTATCCTCGATACTCCAGAGGTTACGATCACTTCCTCTCTCTGTATCCTCAAAACTCCAGGGGTTACAATCACTTTCTCTATCGGTATCCTCGATACTCCAGGGGTAACGATCACTTTCTCGCTGTATCCCTGATACTCCAGGGGTTACAATCACTTTCTCTCTGTATCCCTGATACTCCAGGGGTTACAATCACTTTCTCTCTCTGTATCCTCGATACTCCAGGGGTTACAATCACTTTCTCTCTCTGCATCCTCGATACACCAGGGGTTGCGATCACTTCCTCTCTCTGTGTATCCTCGATACTCCAGGGGTTACGATCACTTCCTCTCTCTGTATCCTCAAAACTCCAGGGGTTACGATCACTTCCTCTCTCTGTATCCTCGATACTCCGGGGGTTACAATCACTTTCTCTCCCTGTATCCTCGATACTCCAGGGGTTACCATCACTTCCTCTCTCTGTATCCTCGATACTCTGGGGGTTACCATCACTTCCTCTCTCTGTATCCTCAATACTCCAGGGGTTACGATCACTTTCTCTCTCTGTATCCTCGATACACCAGGGGTTGCGATCACTTCCTCTCTCTGTATCCTCGATACTCCAGGGGTTACCATCACTTCCTCTCTCTGTATCCTCAAAACTCCAGGGGTTACCATCACTTCCTCTCTCTGTATCCTCAAAACTCCAGGGGTTACCATCACTTCCTCTCTCTGTATCCTAAAAACTCCAGGGGTTACCATCACTTCCTCTCTCTGTATCCTCAAAACTCCAGGGGTTACGATCACTTTCTCTCTCTGTATCCTCGATACACCAGGGGTTGCGATCACTTCCTCTCTCTGTATCCTCGATACTCCAGGGGTTATGATCACTTTTTCTCTCTGTGTATCCTCGATACTCCAGGGGTTACGATGACTTTCTCTCTCTGTATCCTCGATACTCCAGGGGTTACCATCACTTCCTCTCTCTGTATCCTCAAAACTCCAGGGTTACGATCACTTCCTCTCTCTGTATCCTCGATACTCCAGGGGTTACGATCACTTCCTCTCTCTGTATCCTCGATACTCCAGGGGTTACCATCATTTCCTCTCTCTGTATCCTCGATATTCCAGGGGTTACGATCACTTCCTCTCTCTGTATCCTCGATACTCCAGGGATTACAATCACTTCCTCTCTCTGTATCCTCAATACTCCAGGGATTACAATCACTTTCTCTCTCTGCATCCTCGATACTCCAGGGGTTACGATCACTTTCTCTCTCTGTATCCTCGATACTCCTGGGGTTACGATCACTTTCTCTCTCTGTATCCTCGATACTCCAGGGGTTACGATCACTTTCTCTCCCTGTATCCTCGATACTCCAGGGATTACAATCACTTTCTCTCTCTGCACCGCTGGAACACAAAATTGAAGTTACAAGCGAAGTATTTTTATTTGTTCAAGGAGAAAAAAAACCTGACCAATCACAGGCTGATAAGCTCCTTTTGGAGATTACAAAAATGCGACACTCAAAGCCATTACAATATACCGTTAGACGACCTCGAGATTCGTTTGATGTACATCAAAGGATCAAACTAGTTTTATCGTCTTATCCACAAAGTGCCGTACATGGACCTTTAATTTTCCATGCAAGATCGAAAGTGATTGTAACCCCTGGAGTATCGAGGATACTTTAACATGTAGAACCACGTGTATTTTTAACTTGAACCTCGCCATATTGGACTAATCGAGAAAATCTTCTGATTTGTTAGGCGATGTGAAGTTGGACGTGTTTGCTACTAGCACGTTAGTATACCAGATTGTTCCTTTGTTGTACACCTTGTTCTAATTAGAGACATTACTTACATGACCTGACCGAGCTTTATATGGCGGTGTCTCCGACGAATCAGAAGACGCTTACTATTCAGAAACACCTAGTCCTATTCTCATCGTACTTTTTTTAAAAAGAAGTCTGGGTGTAAATCTTTCTTTTGTTTATAGTTTGTCTTAGCTTTATTATATTTCAATTTAGATTATGATTCTGTTGGCGTGATGGTATTTTCTTTCTTGTTTTCTTTTCACATAGCCGAGTGCCATTACATCTGGTGACCATGTTTACACGGATATAACGACTTTGGAGGGTGTTACTAGCGGTGCGGTGATGTTGAGACAGGAGGGACCAGGATATTACGTTACAATTGCAGATGAAATAGACAATTATGATCATTGTAAACAGCAATCACTGGACATTGAACAACACTCAGGAAAAACGGACACGTATGATACCCTTAATTCTCAGCCAATGAACGTCTGTGTTATAAATGACGACACATACAATACAACCCGAGAGACTACGTATGATCGATTACATACCAAAGAAAACCCGTCAGTTCCGGGGAATTATGATGTACTTCCGGGAAATCATGACGTACTTCCTGTTCATGACAATATGTGAATGTAGAGAAGTACCATAATATGAAATAGGCACTGCCTAAAAGCGAGCTCATCATCATCATTATCATCATCATCATCATCATCATCATCATCATCATCATCACATCTTGTTGATCTTCTAGAAAACAATGTATCAGCATGATCAGTCGATGATTTGGTGGCACAGTTGTAACACACTTGTCTTTCACCTAGCCGTCCGGGGTTGGATTCAAATAATTCCATACAAAGTATTGAAATTGAGAACTTCTGCTAAAGTACTAGCTTGATGCCTGTACAAAGTTTTGAGTAACGGGTAGTTACCTTGAATGGTTTAAGAGAACTGGCCTGAAAAAAACCAGAACTTTGTGATTTGGCCTATCTGTTTCCATGGTAACAGAGAAAGTATTTAAATGGTGAACTTCCCCAATAGCAAAAAATACTACAAGCCTAATAAGTGTTAAAAAATTGAGCAATTATCTTGAATGGTTTCAGAGCATTGGCCCAGAAAAACTGAAATTCGTGATGAGGGTCATCGGTTTCAATGGTAACAGTAAATGTATTAATGAAGTCTTTGACAACATATCTAGACTTAAAAATTGATAAAAAAAAAGTTTTCAAAATAAATGTACAAGAGTTTCCCTTTCAGAGTTACAGACATTGCAGAGAGGACTATATATCGATTTTGCTTTAAAGAGTTTGTAGTCAAAATATTGTGAAATACAATATAGTTTTAGTCGGATTTGTAACGGCGGAGGTTATATGTTTAACACATTTATTAACAACAGAATGTTCTCTACCATCGTTTTCTTTTCTCTTTGCTATTGTGTTATACATTGTAATTCAGAAAATCAATATAAATGTAAATGTTTAAATGAAATTCAAAAGCCACAATATATTACATAAAATGCATTTTTCTGAAGAAAAAAAAATCACCACAAATATAGTTATCTTATCATCGTGCCTTATAAATGTCTGCTGGAAAATTTCTAAACATTCGTATACTTGATCATAATTAATTTCAAACAGTTATCGAAAGAATATCCACATCTTGCGGAATTAATATTGTTAGGAGACATGACAGGGTTTTCGCCAAATCGGTACCGTTCGGCTGCTTTCGTGTAAGAGACCATGTCGTACTGAAAGTGACGAAAGTTCCCGAAGGTTAACCCGGAAATCAGGTACATCGGTGCACAATCGTGCTCATATCTTGAATGGTTAAAACTGTTATTTTTCAACGAGATATTCGTTATATGAGTTTAAAACCATTAAAGTATATATTTGTTAAATCTATTTGAATTATTTAAGACTTTTAGTATGATTTCATTTCCACAGGAGAGCTTGAAACGACAATTTATCGGTCAAAATCATTTTAATCCATTCAACGGGTTGGCAGTTCTCATTGCGTGCTGCGGATTGAACAGTTGAACAAAATAACACAAACTAACGAACAATATATAAACCTACACTGCAATAGGATGGACAGTACCCCTGTCCTCCCTACACCGTCGCCTGGACGTAAATTGGCCGATCGACAACGCAAAAATAACCACGCCTACCGAAAATCAAGGGAGGCTACTCTCACCATCTCCGACAAACAAAATGTCGTCAGCATTGAACGTCATTCCCGATGATATCGTACTTAATTATACTTCTAATGTATCGTTGAAGAAAAATTTAAAAGCGAATGGTTTCGTGTCTGGGTCATACTTTCAACGAGCGTCCTTCCAAACAAGAGAAGATGATACAGTTGAAATTAGTGGCCATGTTTTCCCCACTCAGCGGAAAAATTTGGGGATATATACCATCTACGACCCGTTTTCAGTCGAATATTTATGAGGTTTTCCTTTTCAAATAAGGTTAACATGGAAAATCACTGCATTTATTCAATATATATACCAATCAATAGGGAATTCAAAATACTAAATTTGTATCTATGGATTACAGCCCTTTCCGTTGTTGAAGGAGTAAAAATTGTCTTTTTCATTTGACGCATATTGCCAGAACCCAGAAAGTCGCCACATTACTACGATCCGTTTTTCAGACGAGTATTTCTGAGACGGGTTTTTTTACTTTTTAAACTAAGTTTATATGTGGTAGCAGTGCAATAATTAGATAATGAAATATACCGGTCGTTAGGGAATTTAATAACCTAAAATTATGTGTATATATATTTTAGCCCTTTCCTCCTTGAATGACTTAAAACAGTCCATTTAAGTAGTCACGTACTTTCATTTCCCTATACTCGCCATGTTAAATCGGGTCGATTTCAGTCTCTTTTGGTATACTGTGACGTCACTGGTCACTTATTGGGTTTTCAGACAACTGTTTCCGTGAAATCGATAATTTTGCCATTTTAACAGTCAATTTCGCTTTTATGGTTCATCTTTGAAAATTTTTATTTCTCGTAAAGTGGTCACAGTAACCTTTATTTTCATATATATAAAAAAAAAGATTTTTCGTTGAAGATACCCTTTAAACACCACACAATGTTGAATCTGTTTATGCTTTTTTCCTCTTTACATTTTTGCTAATAATCAAAAAGATAAAAAAAAAAAAAAGTTCAAGTGGTGTGATAGTTTTCTATGGAGCAGAATTAATGAAATAAAAATAAAAACAGTCGCCATGCAGGGTTAGCTCAGTTGGTAGAGCATAGGCTCCACGACCAGAAGGGTGCAGAGGGCCGGGTGGGTTTGAATCCCGGCAGCAGCATTTTCTTTCCCGTGAAAATTCACCTCTCACCTCTGTTTCAAGTGGGAATGAAGTGGTAAACCCCAAAGAAACTAACAAAACAAGTTTGCTTTTACAGTCATATAAAGTCTTTATAAAATGGCCACCAAGATACATCACTGATATAACGGTTACTTTCTAAACTGGCATTAAATTCTTAAATTTTGGGGTTTTTTTTATGTATATCATGTTAATGTTTTTTTTTTCATCAAGAATGTTAATACCTTATTGGAAGACTTTAAGATTTTATTTCAACTGTTTAACCATAACAGTAAACACTCATATTATCACAGACCATTCACAAAGTAAAACTTTGTAAAAGAGCAGAAACATGTCCAGATAATTTCATTTCCCTTCAGTCAATAAATATCCGAAAATGGTCAGTCCGAAATCAAGCTTGTTTATAAATACACACATTAACATGCGGCTTATTAGCACATGAGAGAGGATTATAAAACTTATGCTAGCAAAATTTTGAGAGAAAAAAATACTGATGTTCATTGAAATATTGTTCACGTGAGTCTGTGAATATTTACGCACTTTTGAGCAGACATAATTTTTTTTAAAAAAATGCTTTAATCTATAAGGACACTGCAGGATCTCCCCGTTAAGTTGATACTTAGGCCGTCCGCACAATCGGAGCCAAGATTTGCACTTCTCATGCTTCGTCTGAAATTTGGGAAACGGTATGAATACAACACCTCCCTCTAATCGCTCTGGGTAGCGAAATCGGTGTTGCAAGTTCCCCTGCAGCAACGTTTCACAATTGTCGGAGAATGTCGGAGTAGCGAAACGTAAACAAAGAGGCGAATACTACCCGCGATCTGATTGGCTAAACCACAAGGCTACAACACACCGCAACACTCAACAGCATGCCAGTACCACGACACTGTCACTACAGGCACGTCCTCGATCGCTGAGCTGACCACCGTACAGCTCAGACGTTGCCTGCCAGTGTCCTGCTGTTACCAAGTACTAATTAAGGTGTCGGTTCTTGTACCTGCAGTCAGGCGTACTAGACCAGCCTTTGCAGGCGACCCTATATCCAGGAGCTTCTGGCATACCTGACCCGTCAACTTACCGGCACCAACCACACGTACAATGACTTACCCGAATAGCCTTATCCAGGCGATCCCTTATACAGGAGCTTCTGGTAGCAGTATGTAGCGAATGATTACCGTATTGTATTCACGTATATGCCGTTAAATGGTCTTCTGTCTGTCAGAACTTCTAGTTCCCAGTACTGGTTTCAATTAGGCTATATATAAAATTTGGTGTAACATTCTGGGTGTCTTCATTATTTTGCAGGTTAATAAACCACCAAAAACTATATCATAACCCAAAATACGTAAGACATATATATTTATTCACTTATAAAGTATGATTACATATATAGAAAACACTAGTTTCACTTACAAATCAGTCAATCATCGTTAATTACATTAATTAGGTAGGTGGTGATGTTACAAAAGTAGACGCATACAAAACGTTACATGAAGGGAGATCACTCTAACTGAATAAAATCATCACAAAAATTATATATATAAATCTCAAAGTTTCGGCATTTCCTGTCAAGCATAGAACAAATAACTAAAATTAGAACCAATTCACATCATATCACTCCCGCAAATATGTGAGTACACTATCCCTACTTCATTCTGAAATTCCCAAAACTAACGATATTCAGCAAGTTAGTTTCGGATAGAAACGGCTGGCCCCTTAATTTCCACGTGCCAAATATTCCGCAATCCAGCCTCGATGCCGATCTCTACACGCCATTCTTCTTGTGGGTTTGACCGATTCAGCTCCTTACTCAAAAGCGACCATCGTGTCATCATTTGAATTGAAAAAGGATGACTTTCTAGACACTAAATTTTGAGACCTTTTTATGATAACACGAAATAATCACTAATGTTTTGACGTATTTCAGGTTTTATTTTTACAGTTTTTCAGAATCACGTGTGATACTTGTTATAACGTAAATTGCAGGAGCCGAGCAATTTCTTCTGGTCAGCAAATAAGATATTTTATAGAATTTAGACAAACGTATTTCTATGTATAGGCTCATTTAAATAAAGTATTGTAGCTTACCTGATTGAGCTCTCTATCTTCACTTTCAAACTGACAGAAACATAACGGTTTAAACATATTTTATTACATCAAATATATACAATGGGGATGAGCACAAGTTATCCTAAGTTAATGTCTTTGTATTCTAATTTTATTATTTCATTTACCGTTTTTATTCTAATTCATTATCTTAAAGTCTTATTCTTTGTATCTTAATTTCATTCT